ACGACTGAGAACAACCCGCCACGGCCATCACGTGCGTCGTGAGAAATTAGCGGCCGTAGCGTGCGGAGTGTGTGGCATGCCCCCCCCCCCCCCCCCCGATCTTCGTAGCTCGGCCTTCATGCGCCTCCACTGCAGTTGCACCGCCTGCACACTATGTGGCAACTGCCCGCCAGTTTTTTGAGACACGCTCAATACAAAAAGCAATGTGTGCGGTTTGTAGAAAATGTTTTCCACCTCGATGAGTGGTATGGTGCTGTGGTTAAACTTCCGTGTCCTTTCCTATTTTGTTCAATAAAAAACAATGGTGCAACGCCCTTCGTCAGTCCGCTGCTGCACAAATGCAACCACTACCACCACCGCCCCTCTTTTACGCCGACCTTTGCCATTCCTACACATGAGTTCGGGTTTTAAAGCGCTCTATCTCTTAGACAGTCCAAAGATTTGCCTATTTCCATCGCTAATGAGTCACCGGGGTGAATGAATGTTCTCTTTCTTAGGGCCGGTGAGACCGTCTAAATCGGGTGTGGTGGTTCAGCCGTTGTGGTTTTTTTTGCTGGCGTTGCCGGCTCTACGCGAGCATCAGTATTTAGGCCTCGTTCACTTGTTGTTGTTCTTTTACTTGATAGATTCCACTCAGAGACCACACATTTTTAGGCTCTGCGGCTTATGCTGTCATGATATCTCCACTAAGAGGGTTAGGGGTCACCAAACCTCTACCCCCGCTCCCCCGTGCCCTCCCCCATTTCACCCTGTACACCTCCTTGTGGCTATGGCCATCCTGAGTTGTCAAAATTGTTTGGGATCGTGAAAAGGGGGAGGTTCCAGGACCGTTTAAAATATCGCTTGTGCCACTGATGTTGGCAATGGGCAGGAATTGAACGCGAGGTCGCTTGGTTCATAGGAGAGTGCGTGAACCAGGATGTTACTGCTGCATCCCCCTCTTCCTATTTTCATCATCAGCCATGGTCATTCCACTTCCAGATGACGGTCTCTGCAATATGCTTCCATATCTGATAATGCTGCTATATAGTATTTCCTGTTTTATGATAGCCTTATGTTTCCCAAAATTTTGTTCAGTTTTTTTTTTAAGAATCTCTATCTGAAGGTGGTCCAATTATTTGCATATTTTCATCGCTAATGAGTCACCGGGGTGAATTCTTTTTTATTTTCTGAAGGCTGGTGAGGCCATCGGCTTGTGGTTTTTTGCTGGCTATGCCGGCTCTAAGCATGAGTATTTAGGCCTGGTTCACTTGTTGTTGTATTACGTTATTGCTTTCCACTTGGGGGCCGCACATGATTAAATTTTGAGCCTTTGTGGCTCATGCTGTCATGATATATCCACTTAGGGGGTCAGGGGTCACCAAACAAAACTTTCCCCCCCCCCCCGCCCCCCAACCTCTTCCAAGGCTTCTGGACAGTGATGAAGCATCGGCTAAAAATGCCCTCTAGAGCTCAATCTAGTGGCGGCCCTGCCGCCAACGGGGATGTGAGCGAGTAATTGCAGGGCTGCGCCTTTTACTTTCTCTACCGAGGACAGAATCGATGGTGCGTGTTTGCACACAGTTATCGCCTATTTCATTGAGACTGCAGGGATGTGTGATGTGTTCTCCGTGTTTCCCAGGATTGCGGTATTCACCCTGTAAAATTGACTTGGAGATATAATGCTGACTGAGAGGAGTGGGTGGGCTTTGGGTTAAGGCTTACGAGTAGATTGTGAGTGACATGCACACTGTGGGCTATAAAGTGACACACACTATTGATTGTGAGTGACACATACACACAGTGGATTGCGCGTGACACATACACACATGCTGAGTGTCGTAAACATCAGTCCGTTGTGTTAACGGAAAACTAATTCTGAGCTTTTGAGTTTGAAGTTGGTGGTGGCGGGGGGTTGTGGGAATCCATTAAAAGCAAAGCCATCAATTTTCACAGCATTTATAGCCCTAATAGCTGCGCACGTTGCCACACTGTGAGCGTGTGTGTGTGTGTGGCGCCGTATTCATATCCATCGTGGCAATTCCGAGCGAGCCGTGTGATTGCAGAAACCCTCCGTCCTGATCGCCTGAGATATTTTCGTGCTCGTGAGATATGCGCCTCAAATGAAGGTGGAGCATGACCGTTTTATATATATATACAGGTAAAAAAAAGTTTTGCTTTAGTAGACGACACTTGAATCCAGAACAGGCACCGCTTAGGCATTGGCGGTTGAACTGTTAAAGCTCCATTGGAACCTTTTGGCATCATCTGGTCCAACCCATGTGAGACTAGGCTCTAAGGAAAGCTGTCTCGGTTGTGGACCAATCAACTTCAAGGACAGTGCATACATTATCAGACTCTTAGTTCTTTCGGTAAAGTCACGTAGGTAAAAAATGAAATTTACAATTAATAAAAAATAAAAACAATAAAAGTATTAATTTTAATTTTATTTTTTACCTACGTGACTTTACCGAAAGAACTATGAGTATGAATCCTTGCAGTTACGAAAGCTTCAAATCTAGAACACATTATCAGAGTTATGTTTTTTGTTTGCATTATGACTGCAGGTATTGTGGTCTATGCAAACATGACTCCTTGTAAAAAAGGTGTCAGTTTTGTTGCCAGATAGAAGGGTAAAAAACCAATTATCACTGTTAAAGCTCTCCAATGCCGATCGGCAGTGGCGTCGTGCGGACAGTCCGTCCCAAGTGCCACGGGAGCTTCTCCAGGGGGAGGGAAGAGTGGGGCGGGGGGCGGGGAACTGAATGCTGAAGGGAATTTAATTTCGAAACTCTTGTGAGGGAATTGAATTCACTTCCAGAAATAAGTTATCGGCACGTAGCCGGGGGGGGGGGGGGGGGGGGGGAAACGTTGTTGCACGTCGATTCGAACGACGTGGGGCAGGACCCCCGAGTGCACGGCGCTGAGAAAGCGTCGCTTAGTCTCGCGGGCGTCGGCAGATTCTGGCAGCATGACGGACGTCGCCTGCTCTCGAGGTGTCCGTGTGCCAAGCACACTCGGTGTTGTGCGCGCCCATCGACCGAAGCCGTTTCACGAGTCATTGTGTCCGCTGTGTCTTGTACAGCGCTGTGAGATTCTCGTCGACGGGCGCTTTGCTTTTTTTTTTGTCCCCCACAAAGAAGTCGTTCTGCAAAAAAGGGAAGGTGCGATTGGCCGGCCTCGTTTCGTGCGTGCCTTTGTACCGTGGCGTCACCGATCCTCTTGGGAGGCGATTTGGGCCTCCCTCCTGTTTGGTCAGTTTTAATGGATTCCCCTTAAAATCGCGTAGCTTCTGAGTACTGTGTTGGTATGTCTGTGGTGGAATTTCCATATAAATCTGGTTTCTGCTTGTATTAGCAAGAAACGTCTTGGTCGGAGAGCCCCTGTAAGAGAGATACCCTAATTGGATTTTTGTTGTAACCATCTGTGCCCAAAGTCGGCTAAATGTGGCATCATATATAGCATCTGCCATCCTGACCGTGTGATTACATTCTGTTTGAGATGCGAACCAGCCGCCTCCCGTCTTCTTTGTAGAACGTGGATGGCCTGTCATTTGGTATAAATCAGCGGCGGCTCTTGGCTTTAAGACCCAAGGACAGAGCAGTTACCGATTATGTTTTAACCGTTTAGTACTAAACTGCATTCAAGGTGCGTGTAATGGTACGTCAGGTGATTATTTTTGCAATTGTGTGGCATTATGGGTAATGTGCCACCACAACGGCGGCGCATAATGAGTTGCTTTACAACAGCGCTGTTTGCGTTTGACCGGTCGCTGTAATTTAGATGGGAGTGCTCTTACCGATAACATCTGGCAACAAACCGACATTTGTTTAACAGGCCTGACTGCTGATGAGATCCCGGAAGGTTGAAACCGTTGCCGAGTTTTTCTGCTGGCGTAATATAGTTCTTGAAAGTCAATAGAGCAATAGGCCTATATATTTATTTATATATGGAGACGCATTACACAATTCTGTTTATGTAGCAGCACTTGCACGCAGTACGTACGGAAGGTGCGTTGGCAAAACCCGAGCGGAAAACGGAGAGATGACGAGGCTGGCAGAGCAAGCGCGCTGCGAAGATATATAGATTTGCATTTTTTAAAACGTCCGAGTGACAAGTAAAAATACAAAACCCCGAGACGAGCAAAAGCAAGTGGCAACTCTCCTGGCAGCCTCGTAGGGAGACGTCACTGGCGGCGGTGACACCGCGGGTCACTGGTTTGTAGCCGAGACTCCCCGAGAAATGCGACAGCCTCATCGGCCTCGCAGGGAGGAGGAGAGGCTGCGGTTTACGGCTTCTTCCCGGCGGGGAGCGGCTGCCGCGTAAAATAGGTCACCGTTTAAATGTTCCTTTGACAATTGCACGATACTAGGGGGAAGTGAAACGCGTACGGTAGCGTGATGTTAACTACCTCGCCTGGTATACAGGAAGTCGTGGGCTCGATCCTGACCCTGACGCCTGCTGTATGTGTCTGGAGTTTGAATGTTCTCCCCCGTGGTCGCGTGGATGTTTCTCCGGATCCTCCGGTTGTTCCCTCCACGTTTAGAAACATGCATTTACAGCATTTTGGCTGCGATAAATTTGTACGCGATAAGCCACGTCGTGGCTATCATTTGTGGTCGGTTCGCTTCTGAAAAAGAGCTATGTAGCTCAGTGGGCCTTACCCCTGGTAAAATAAAATAAATAGTTTAATAGTTTAGTTTAAACAGTACATCCCGACTCCCGCTGGAACACCTACTTCCCAAATTGATGCCTTATTTAAAAAGAGAAGAAAACGCACGTACAACGGGTTAACTTTCATACGGAGCAGGGTATTTGGCATTATGGTGACAGATATGTGTGTGTGTGCGTGGGTTGAAAATGTGAATCGGTGGTGTAATGGTTGGCGCACGATTGCCTCCGCTTTGAGCACCCTGTTTAATCATCGTCGGCCTTAACAGGCACTCGCTCACCGCGGTCGCTTTGAAAGTTCGTCGCCTAAATGGGGATCTTTGTCCGCCCGCGTCTCTGTGTGTGTGCAGTACCTGGATTTAGACCGGGCCGCGCTGCAAAAAATGAAGAAGTCGATTAAAGCCATCCAAACGTCCGGGCAATGTGAGTTCTTTTGCGCCCGATCCACAAATGCACGATTTTGTAACCCTGAAACGGAGCAGGTGTCCTACGTTCCGAACGCTGGATGTCGCATTTCGTACACGCATGATTTCTATCGGATGTTCTCTAATTGTGTTGTTGTCAAGGTTCAAGAAAACCGATCCTGAACTACAATTTCGGGTTGCGCAACAGCGGAAACATACGCGTTTTGAATGCTGCGTGTCACGTGTTGCATACACGCTGGAAACAATTCCTTACGTTTTCTCCACTCTAGTTAATGTTGTTGTCAAGCAGAAGCTCAATACGGCTAATGGGTTGAGGATGTTGTTGTTGTTGCTGCTGCTGTCTGCCATTTGCTGCGAGTTAATAAGTTCTGTCTCAATGACGGGGACAGATACAATGCAGTTGGTGGTTGTAAATACTTGGCAGTGAGACGGTGTCAATATATATACGCATACATATTGCGTAGCTCTGTGATACACCGTCTTTCTTGTTCCTTGTAATTAACATGTATCCGTTTTATTCCGCGTGCAGTCGAAGTTAAATGCTTAATTAAAACACACGGGTGGCATTTAATAAAGCGGATGTGTTTTTTTTTTGCCGTCACAATGTCGCCTTTAATTTACGCGTACTTCTAATATAATGGCAGGCTTTCAAATTTACGAAGATGCAGGCAAAATCCACTCTCTACTCATTTGTATTAATCACTTTCTTTGGCTGTTAAAGAGGGGGCGGGGGGGGTAGGGTCGGGAGCCAGGGGGGGGTAGATGACACGGTGGTTCGCGCACTGTGCTATGAACCGGGCAGTCTGAGTTCGATTCCCGTCCACGGCTAACGTCAGCGGCGAGTGACGCCTTCAACCAGCCCGCACTGGTGGCCAGCTTGGTGAATTGTGATTGGGCGAAAAAAAGACCACTTGACCGACACCACATGGGGACGCCTGCGTGCAGTGGTGGGTTGACGAAGGTGCTGTAAACGTTAGGGTGGGCGCGAATTGACCCGAGCCGAGAGTCTCCAGTGCTGCCGCCCAGTTATGGTGCCAACGTTGACGAGCCAATGTTCGCATGTGGCCGGAGAACCGTTGGTCAAAAAACTTTGGCCCCCGACCGACGTGCCGCGTTTCTCCGGGTGGTCGTGCCGTGTGACGCCGTTTTCGTGCGCCCATGCCTCCCGCAGCCCACGTGGAGAACGAGGAGGCGTACACGCTGTCGCTGGACAAGGTGGGCACCAACCTGATGAGCCGGGACGACCCGAACCTGGGGGCGGCCTTCCTCAAGTTCTCCGTGTTCACCAAGGAGCTCACCTCTCTGCTCAAGAATCTGGTGCGTCCGCGCCAGCTTCAAACTGCATGCGTTGCGATGTGCACTTGAATAATAATATAAACTATTTAAATTTTACTAAGTAAGGCCCCCCACTGAGCTATGTAGCTCGTTTTCAGAAGCCACCTGGCCACGAATGACAGCTCAACAAAGCGGTTTATCACGTGGACATTTATAGCGGCCAAATACTCTAAACGCACGTTAATTCTAAATGTGGGGAGAAAAACTGGAGGACGCAGAGAAAAGTCTACACGGCCACGGGGAGAGAGACGCACAAACTCCAAATATACCGGCATCACGGTCAGGATCGAACCCACGACCTCCACCATACCAGGAGAGGTATTAAACATCTCGCCACTGTGACGCCCAATAAATTAGTCAAGAGAGCGCTGCCCCCCCACCCAGGTTTAAACACCTGAAACGACCGAATAATAATTTGGCGCTGCCCACGCACGGATCGGCTAGTGAAGTCTTCCCTCGCTGGAATTTCTGTCAATGCCAGGCCGTGACCGCCAACAATGCGGACGGCGGGCAGCGACGTGGCGACGCTATTTTAATGACGTCCCCTCCCCAACTCCCCCGCACTCCCTTCCGGCCGAGCGCCGGCACTGAATGGCACTCGGCATCTCGCTTGGCACCGTGGGGGGTGAGGGTGGGGGGGTCTAGGGCTTTGACCGAGTTTTCTGCGGATCCCTTCACATGAAGTCATCGGCTCTCTGTGCGCAGAACGTGGGCGTTCATTAAGGGTTGTGACGAAGCCGCGTTTTTGTCTTCTTCTTAAATCAGAACGGCACGAATTCTTGTTATTTTTTTTGTAAAAAGATGGAATGCGGGGGTCCGGGAACCGTCACACAGCGGAGTGCCACGCAGCCTCCGTTGCAATGGAGGGATCCCAGTTAGCAGTGCCTTGAAGATGGAGATGTAGAATATGTTATTGCCGCGTGGGTGGCTCACGAAAAAGGGGTAAAAGAGAAAAAAAACTACGTGGCGCGCACAGTGTCGCATGAATAAAACATTGTCTTGTGCAGGCTTTGTGAGCATATGTAGGCTGCCTGTAGAACGCACGTGGCTACGTGCGTGTGTGTGTGGCTACGTGCGTGTGTGTGGCTACGTGCGTGTGTGTGTGGCTACGTGCGTGTCTGCATCTTCGTGGAAGAGGCGTTGGCGCAGGGGTTGGTGCATTGCGCTACGAACCCGGCGACCCGAGTTCGATTCCCGCTCACGGCCAACACTGGTGACGATTATCTGAACCGCTTCTGGGCCCTCCCCCCCCCCCCCAGGTGGACTCGGCCTCAAATGAGTACCTGGTGCGGCGTGTAAACATCGCCCCTCGGGAGGCAAAGGCGGCCGGGCGTGGTGCTGGCCACCCATTCGCTCATGTACCGTGCCGATATTTGAGTGCTTGCTATAACAGCACTTGCCCCAAAAGTCTACTAAGGCTGTACGGGGGAGCTTTGTCTTTGTATGTGCTTGATATAGAACAATCCCTTTAGTTCCCCAGAAAATCCTCACCAAGTCTCAAGGCTCCTTTTTCAGAAGGGCGCAGCTCTGGGTTGTTTGTCCAGTTTCATTACCGAGCGTTTAGCTCAAAGAAGGAAAACTGAGTAACCGGGGAAAACCGCCGCGCATACAAAGCGGTGACTCAAGGCATTGCGCAGGTAGATTCAAGAATCCATAGCTGCAGTGCTTTCTCATGGCCGCTTGGCATTTAAAGTCTGTAACACCTCGTATGCAAGGGCAGTCAATCATCCAACTTCTCCATAATAGAGGTTTTTTTTTGGGTTAGATCGGTAATATAAATGCGGTGTTAAACCCGCCTACCACCCGACACAGCCAATTAGTAAGGTTTGTCACGTAAACGGAACACGCCAATTCGTTAATAGTACAGCACACCGGTGTGTTGGAGAGTAAACCCACAGCATTTACAGTTCGATAATTACAACTAGCATCATTAGGCTACAGCCAGATTTGTGGAGAAGTCCTCCTGTTTAACCCAATCAACCATGCCAATTCTAACCCAATAAACTGTAATAGCCTACGTGTGAAACCATCCAGCATCTATCCTCGCAAATAGCAGATGGCTGTGCCTACTGGCTACTGGACATCTGTGAAAAATAGCTTCATAGCTCATCGGATTCCTCTTGCAGTATAAATACATATTCTGATTTTCACTCCCTTCGGCAACTGTGGCTCACTGTCAACAACCGCATCCCAGCATCAGACGGATGCTGCGGATAGCTTGTGCAACGAATTGGAGACTCGAATGCTCGCTCGCTCATCACTTAAACACTCACAACACTCTTGCAACGCACTCACCCACGCGCACGCCCACACGCTCGCTCATTCGCACGTGACTAATGCACACGAGGAAACTCGACGACACTCCACAGTCCGAACGTGGTGAACAAATCAAACAATGGGACATCGACGTGACCTGCTCTCCCACTTGCATCTTTACGCATTTCCCGGAATCGTCTCTGAGATTCACTCCGCGCCTCCCGAAGCTCTTGACACCGCACGGCAGAAGGTTGCTTTTCTTCCATATGATGTCATCGTCATTGTGACTGACCAAGTGCAACCCCCCTTAAATTCCTGAGCTCCGATGTTATATAGAGGGCAATAGAGGTGATGTTGTCGTGTGTGTGTGTGTGCGTTTGGTGGGACCGTGGGAGCGGTGCTGCATTGGTTAGCGCACGGCGATTTGAACCCAGTGACCTGAGTTCCATTCCCCACCACGGCTAACATCGTTGGCGAATACCTGAACCAGTCCCTGGGCGTCGCCTTGTGTCAACTCAACCTGATGTGCTGTGCGTGGCCCTGGCCACAGCAACCGATTATGCACCGTGGCTGACCCTTCATAGGTGCTGCTACTCGCTAGCAGCATTTGCCCCGACAGTCCATTCCAGGCTGTACGGGGGAGGGGGGCGGGGCGGTGGGGAGCGATCTTTGTCTGTGTCTTGACTGCGGTGATGTCGCTGCGCATGCAGGTGCAGAACATGAGCAACATCGTCGTCTTCCCCCTCGACTGCCTACTCAAGGGGGACCTCAAGGGCGCCAAAGGGGTACAGGACGCTCTGCGGACTCTCACCGGATGTCGCTCGCAAACGTCTCCTCGCTTGCGCTTCCTGCGGTTTTAGTCTGGAAGACATTTTTTTTTCTGAAGCTCTGTTCGACTGTTGTAACAAAAAACTGTTTTTTTAATTTGACACGGTAAGGTCAAATTAAAAATAATAATGTTATTTCAATTTTTTGCAATTTGACCAGGTAAGGTTAAATGAAAAAACGGCTTTTTTATTTGACCAGGTAAGGCCCACTGAGTTGTGTATGGCTCTTTTCAGGAGCGACCTGGCCACAAAATGACGGCATAACGAAGTTGGCTCATCTCGTGGAAATGTTTAGCGGCCAAATACTCTAAACGCGTGATGTGGATTCTCAGTGTGAAGGCAAACACCGGAAAACCTCGAGAAAAAAAATTCAGGCTACCATGCGGAGAGAACATGCAAACTCCAAATATACAGGCGTCAGGGTCGGAATATAGCCCACGACCTCGTGTATACCAGGCGAGGTAGCTAACAGCTCACCACCGCAGCGCCCCAGAAAGTGATTGCAGACCGAATGAGTAAGTATGAAACGTAGTAGGATATCGTTCCCTATCTAGATTTACTAAGCGCCTTTATCCAAGGCGCTTTACGGCAACAACAAAAAATTGTGCGTATGGTGATAGTGGTTGAGATAGAGTGGGGTTATTAGAAGTGGTGGTGTTGTCATGGTGATAGCTGGGAGAGCAGGGAGAGGAGAGGTTACACTCGTGCCTCACAGAAGAAGCACCTGGGTTCGATTCCCAACTTGAGTGTCTTTGTGTATGGAGTCAGAATGTTCTGCACGGGTCTCCTCCTAGGTTACAAACAGTGTGCACCGAATAGAATACAATAACAGGTGTTATAGGCCGTGTTGGGCGACGCGGGTAATAGAAGGCATCCGGCACGCTACATCCTCTGTACATCTCGCTATGGCTGTGGCAATTCGTCGCTGTACCACCTGCCAGTCAACAGTAGCCCAAAACTATTAACCTCTGCACACATGCAATATATTCAGAGTCCACACGCGTGTAGCGGTTTGCGCCGCTGCGCTACGAACCCGGGGACCCGATTTCGCTCCCCGCTCACGGCCAACATCAGTGACGATTATCTGAAGCGGTCCTGGGCTTCCCCTAGGTCGACTCAGCCTCAAATGAGTACCACGATGCGGTGTGTAGACATCAACACTGGGGAGACGAAGGCGGTCGGGCGTGGTGCTGGCCACCCACCCCCTCGTGTGCCTTGCCGGCCTTCATAGGTGCTCGCTAACAGCACTTGTCCCTAAGTCTTTTGAAGGCTATACGGGGATCTTCATCTTTTTTTTGTATACCCTTGACTACCAAACGACCGCTCCACAATGTCCTTATACAATCTCTGTCTGGATTAGAGATGCCTCGTAGAGTTCAGTTGTAATTCCACTCTTGTGCAGATTATGTGCGCTATTTATATCTGCGACCAGCAGCCGCTAGGAGTATTGAGCACGCCCCCTGGTGGTCGTTACAAAAACACGGAACAACAATTAATCATATTCTTGGTTCAAAATTTAACAATTCATCAGTTCATGCGACGTGAAGTCCACGATGAACTTCTTTTGCACCGTACGTAGCCAACCGCACCAATCGGAGATGCCGGGGAAGGACAACAAACTAAACACAAAAAGCAACAATTTATTTTCTAAAATAATGATACAATTATTTTGTAAGCTTGTCGATTAGATATTAATTGCAATATTTAGAATTTATCCTGGAAAGCATCGCAGTTATCAGACTGATTTTCTAATTTGAGTGTTTGGTAATATTTTACACTCGGTTTTTTTTTGTTCCCTAAGTTTCATTGTATGCATCTAACCCCACTGGAGCTTCAAGAATACAATATAAATTTCCTAATTTTTTTTTTAAATGCTCCGAATTACAACTAATTTGTAAAATAGCGCATATAATTCATTTCTTAACATCTAAAACATCACCCACTTCTCGGTTCATCGTATATTCCTGCACTTTGGGGTGTGGTGCATGGCTTAATTTCATCCAGTTCTGTCCGGGTCGGCGATCCGGCGGATATTTTCTGCACCCGGCACACCACATCCAGAATGTTCCTCTCGTTGTGGATACCGAATCGTGCGCCACCTCCAGTCTCTACGGGCGGCCCGGGAATATTCTCCAGTGAGAAATGAAGCCGCGAGAGCGAATGGATTCTGCCGAACTCCTGCAGCTGCGGTGGCTGTGGGGATAGATGCTGCTGCTGCGGCCTCAGCCAAGGTGCAGCTGTGTTGCTTGAAAAAATAACTCCTGGTCTCAATGGGCACTGAGCCAATGATAAACAAATGTGATCTTAGCACCATCGTCATCACCATTGTCATCGGCCCTGATCGGTTCACTGCTAGATGAAGACGTTCCCTGCGACGATCCGTCCGGCCACCCGCGCACGCACGCGAGCTGATTTCGTCGCTTCATCTCCACGATGGGCCGCCCTCTCCCCGCATTGCGGTTCATCGTAATCGGTTGCCGCTTCGATGCGGTGGCATCGGAAAATTATTCCAAAGTGCGCGCAACGGGTAATCCACACCGCCCGGATGCCCACGCCGCCCGGCGGTGTCCCGGCGGGACGATTGTTACGATTGTAAAGGGGACGCATTAACGGCTGCGCCGATGCCGCGTTTACTCACAGCGCGTCGTATAATGAATAGCGGCGCGCGAGCCGTTCATGGCCGTCACTCTCTCTGCTTGTGGCCCTGACGGCTGCCACGTCCGCGTGGGGGGGGGGGGGTGATGGGGGTCGGAGGTTAGGCGTGCCGCGAAACGTTTAATGGCTCCGTCGCGAGTTGTCATAAAAAAAAAGTGCCGCAGCTGTTTATTCTTACTGATGCGCGCGCATTTGCGGAACGAGTACGTTTTTATAACGCGTGTCAAACGTGCTGATGGATGTCCGCTCGCTCGGTGCCAGGTGGTGGGGGGGTGGGGTGGCGGAGAAGGCGTGGGGGGATTTTTTGAGCAACCGGCGTTTGTCGGTCGTTGTCGGTGGTTGTCGCTCCTCGCTGCGACCGCACGTCTCCCTCGCTCGGCAACGTCACGGCCAACTGCGATGCCGCCGCCTTTCCAGCTCGACAGCTGAAGTGACGCTGCGATTCATCGGCAAGTCTAGCCCAGCGTTCTTCATTGCAAGGCCCGCGGGCCACTGGCGGCCCCCCGTGGTCTTTAGTGCGGCGCCTGACGTGCGCCCCCCGACAATACACAACAAACGTGAAAATACCCCGTCATGCTGTCAAACCCCCAAAGGTTTCAAACGTGTGGTGGCCCCCCTCACACTGATGATGTCTTATCGGCGAAAGTGGGGCCCCCCTCCTTTGAAAATTAGTGAAGAAAATTGTTCTAGCCACTTGACCCATTCGCGTTGTGAGCGAGCGGCGCTTTAATCCTTTTTTGTTCAAGGCGCCTTTGCGTTGTCGTGCTTAAAACACATGCCCCCCCCCCCCTGCGGTGAAAGTGGCGTTTGTTACGGTTTTGATGAAATGCTAATTGTGGAGCCGCTTTACCAGAGTACGTTGTTGTGCAATTAATGGCCGTTTGGCAAGGCATTTAAAGACGCTGCCAAAAATAATTGGCGTTTTCTTTTTTTAATTGAGTCGTCGCTAGCAAAACGACGATAAGCAACCCGGCAAACCGAGAGCAGCAGCCAGGAGCCTTGCATGCCTTGTCGTTTTCGAATTTTGGCGGTGCGTCGCGTCAATGTAACATTTTTGGTTTGGAGACGTCACCGGTGATCTTACGAGCCTGCGCGACGCCGTGAATGTGCGCGTTCTCGTGTTGCCGCGCAGACATCGCCGTAATTATGCCGTGCGTGCGTCATAATATTTATCGCCTGGCGGGTAATTGCGCGTTAAGGAAATATGGGTCAACGTAAAAAAATACACGAAGTTCAGACCTTACACGCGTAATAACTCCTTAGGCAAATTAGCTGGATTATTCGGTCATTCAGTTTCTGCAATCTGCCCTGCCCAGTATTGTGCCCCTTGGGATCCGTGAAGGTCACGGTGCTTAGCTTGCTTGACAATAAGGAGTTAAATCGACGTGCCACATGCTGGGATGGTAATGTGTTCGTGACAATGCCCAGAGGGGCTTTGTGCGCCCAGGCGATAGCTCCGTCGCCACTCGGCCACGCTCTGCGAGCACGCGATTTTCACTCTCACAGCCTCCTCATTCGTGCTCCTTGTCCGTTTGTATTTTTTTCAGGACCTCAAGAAGCCATTCGACAAAGCGTGGAAGGACTATGAGACAAAGTTGTAAGTGTCTCTCTGCTGTCTTCGTGTAGGTTGGGCTACGTGAGAGGGAAAAGATCGATTTGTTTTTTTAATCGGCACAGTTTTTTAGGCCTGCGCGCACCGCTCCTCGCCACTGTACCTGGGCTCATCGTGACGGTCACGGGAGGGTGTGGGTGGTAGGGGGGTGTCGGTGGTAGTACAGTGGTTAGCGCTGCACTACGAACCCGGGAACCTGAGTTCAATTCCGCTCACGGCCAACACCGGTGGCGATTATCTGAACCGGTCCTGGACCTCCTCTGGGTTGACTCAGCCTCAAATGAGTACCTGGTGCGGTGCGTAAACATGACCACTAGGGAAAGAAAGGTGGTCAGGGTGTGGTGCTGGCCACCCACCCCCTCGTGTACCGTGCCGGCTTTAATAGGTGCCCGCTAACAGCACTTGCCCTAACAGTCTGTTAAGGCTATACGGGCGATCTTTGCATTTGTGGGTGGTAGGGGACGGGGGTGGGGGCACTTCTGAAATGTATATCTTTTAAGCAGGGCACTGCATTAATAACAAGTCAATAAAAAAGTCGGTGTATATATTTTCCTGGTTGAACGTCAACCCGCCACCGAGCGCGGGCCCAGCGCAACGCTTCCAATGTCGCTCGCAGCCTCAAGATCGAGAAGGAGAAGAAGGAGCACGCGAGGCAGCACGGCATGATCCGCACCGAGATCACGGGCGCCGAGATCGCCGAGGACATGGAGAAGGAGCGCCGCGTCTTCCAGCTGCAGATGTGCGAGGTAGCCGAGCCACGGCCGCCGTCTCGCCGCGCACGCCGCTCCCCGACACGCACGCACTGCACTGCGAACACAAAGGTCTCCCCGTTCTCGCCTGTTGTTGGGCGCAAGTGACGTCAACGAGCAGCGCCTTCGAAGGCCGGCACGGCACGCGAGGGAGTGGCCGCTTCGTGGTGACGTTTACACGCCGCACCAGGTGCTCGTTTCAGGCCGAGACGACCTAGGGGAGGCCCAGGGCCAGTCCGGATAGTTGTCACCGGTGTTGGCAGTGTGCGGGAGTCGAACCCTGCTTGCCAAGTATGGTGCGCAGCGCCCCTAGCTGCTGCACCACCACTCCCCACCACACACACAGACATACACAGCGCCACCAGCCTGGCCTTAGCTGGGCGGCAGGGAGTAGCAGTAGCAGGGTGGGCTCGGGAGGAGAGACAGGTTTTAAGGGAGAAGTCGCCAGAAATTCAGGACACCCGATTTAAAATCTCCATTTGAACATTTCTGAATTTCAAATTCAGTTTCAAGCCGTGGATAAAGCTGCCCTCGTGCAATGGGTCAGCACGCTCGAAAGCTCGAATCGCAATCCAGAGATCGCCAGTTCGATGCGACTTCCCGGTGCGACAGTTGAGACCACGGTGCAGGTGTTTTTGAACCACCCCCTCCCCACCGCCGCCTCTGTGTGCCCAGCGGTGCAGATGGGTTGAGCACAGTGAGTCTACGGTCGTGTGCGGTGGGATAAAGTGCGGACACTACCACCGTTTAGAAGACGTCTAGCCAGTGTGGAATAGTAGGCCAAATACCATCTAGAGGGGCCCTCTAGAGCTCCCTCTAGCGGAAGTCCTTCCCCTCCCCAGCAGTGGCGTGGGCAAGAGATTGCTGCGCTTTCAGCTTTTAATTGAAAATAATGAAACATGAAGAACAAAAAAATCCTCGGCGTGAGAGTGCAAGGTTACCACCAGCAGACGGGCACACGCAGGCACACGCAGGCACACGCAGGCACACGCAGGGGCACGCAGGCACACGCAGGCACACGCAGGCACACGCAGGCACACGCAGGCACACGCATTCCCCAATGATGTCGGCCTACCATGCCCTCTGCTTCGCGTGACCTTGTGGCGCTCTCATTTTTTTTTTACGTTAAACGTCGGAACAAAACAACAACAACAAAGAATCCCCCCCGCCCCCCCCCCCCCCCGAAAAAAAAATGAAGAAAATGCCCAAAAGCAAGAGAGTGCAGGTCCTGCTGTGGTTCTGCGCCAGTGAGATTCTCGCCTTGACCTGCGCTCATCGTGCCGATGCCAAGTCTTGGCTGCAGCTCGGTCTGCATGAGAGCATGGGTGGAAAAACCCCGATTTTTCCAGCGGCAGGCATCGGGTTTTTTCTTTAATACAATTACATCCTATTTGGGGGAATTAAAACCTGGTTTAACTAATACGAAAGTCTGATCCAAGGCTTAGGCTGCTTCCTCGTCGGTGCTGCTATCGTACTCGGGGCCGTCGGGCACGGGGTAGTCGTAGAATGCGGCGGGCAGGTTGGTCTTGATGAACACGAGCTTCTCCTCCACAATTGTGGGTGCCAGTGAGTTCCTTAGCTTGGAATGGATGAAGCCCATCATTGAGAAGTTGGCGAAGTGCGGTTCTGCAATTAGAACCAATTAAACCGGATTTCTCCCAACCTCAGATGATTGGGTTTAATATAAAAAGATAATTAAACCCGATTGTAAAAAAACCCGACTGTGCCACCCTTGCATGAGAGCAGCCGCGGGCTCCGCCGAAATCCATGCGGAAGGATGCTGTCCGATAGAGGGAATAAATGTCCCTCCGTGATTTGTGTCTGTTTTGCTGACGTCCTTTGTCTGGACGTGTTTATTTCATCTTTGGACACGTGCCATGCAATCACTGCGGGCGGCACTGCAGTTTATTCTGGTCTTCAAACGGAATTGGCTGCTGCTGCCAGCACCGAAGCTTGTTTGTTTTCCAGACTGCTGGAATGACGGGCTCGATAAATTCTGAATGAGCGCGGCAGAGATATGGAATGTGACAGTCTGAGATGGCTCTTCAACTTCCCTCGATGGTTGAAATCTCTCTCTGGAATCGAGGCCGATTAATGTTGTCATTCGCAGTCAAATTCTGCCGAGCGCCAGCGGAGTGGTTAGCGCTTAAATCTGTGGCAAGTAAACTACTAAACTATTTAAATTTTTATTTAAAGCTTTCGTGACTGCAGGGATTCATATTCTTGGTTATTTCGGTAAAGTCACGTAGAAGGGAAACAATAAAGTAATAAAAATATTAAATAATAAAATTCTCACGACGCTTCAACTGATGATGATTGCTTGTGTTGCAGTCGAACCGTCGTGAGAATGTAATTGTTTTATATTTTTATTATTTTATTGTTTCCCTTCTACGTGACTTATCGAAAGAACCAAGAATACTAAACTATTTGTTATTTAACCAGGTCAGTCCCACTGAGCTATGTAGCTCTTTTTCAGAAGTGACCTGGCCACAAATGATCACCCCATGAAGTGGCTTGTCATGCGTTGGTCACTTTGGGCTCGTAAACGTGCGTAGAGCAGCAGGCTTCTTGCGGCGACGCCTCTTGCTTCGTGTTCCCCCAGTACCTCATCAAGGTGAACGAGATCAAGACCAAGAAGGGAGTGGATCTGCTGCAGCATCTCATCAAGTTCTACCACGCGCAGTGCAAGTAAGCGGCTCGCCCACGCCGACATGCGTTGCGTCGGAGATGCGTGTTTGTGCCGGCCCATCGGTGTGCCGGCGACGTCCCATTGAGATTGGTCAGCCCTGTCTCCTGCCCTACAGCTACAACGAGGCCTACACCAACCCCTATCACTACTCCTATCACTGCCCTACCCCTATCACTACCCCTATCACTACCCCGATCACTACCCCTATCACTACACCATACCCTATCACTACCCCTATCACTACCCCTATCATTACCCCTATCACTACACCATACCCTATCACTACCCCTCCCACTACCCCAAACACTACCCCTATCACTACACCATACCCTATCACTACCCCTACCACTATCCCTATCACTACACCATACCCTATCACTACCCCTACCACTATCCCTATCACTACACCATTCCCTATCACTACCCCTATCACTACCCCTATCACTACACCATACCCTATCACTACCCCTATCACTACCCCTATCACTACACCATATCCTATCACTACCCCTATCACAACCCCTATCACTACTCCTATCAGAACCCCTATCACTACCCCTATCACTACCCCTATCACTACCCCTATCACTACTCCTATGACTACTCCTATCACTACTCCTATCACTACCCCTATCACTACCCCTATCACTACCCCTATCACTGCCCCTATCACTAACCCTATCACTGCCACTATCACTACACCATACCCTATCACTACCCCTATCACTACCCCTATCACTACACCATATCCTATCACTACCCCGATCACTAGCCCGTCACCCCTATCACTACCCCTATCACTGCCCCGATCACTACACCATCCCCTATCACTACCCCGATCACTACACCATACCCTATCGCTATCCCTATCACTGCCCTACCCCTATCACTACCCCGTCACCCCTATGACTACCCCCTCACCCAGCCTCCCAGCTACGACGAGGCCTACTCCAACCGCTCCTGAACCAATCCATACAGCAAGGCACCCGAGTTGGGAATCGAACCCAGGCCCTTCTTGCTGTCAGAGACGAGTCTCCTGACTGTCACCGTAGCTGCACCACCACCACTTTTAATAACCTCACTCTTTATGTCAACCAGCATCATCTTACGTGCAATTCTAGAATTGTTGCAAAGCACCCCGGAATAAGGCGCTATATACATCTAGATACGATAATAATATATATTATCCTTAAATACATGATATTTTTGTATTTGTACTTTCAAAAACTACAGAAGCAGGAGAGAGATCGGGGGCGTCGGGGGGGGGGGGATACGGCATCCTCCGATTGACCGAGGCACACGCGCGCGCGATCGTAGTGCTCTCCGGACGTGTGACATCGTGAACGAGCGGTCCTGACCACTCTCCAGAGGAGTTGTCTCCCGAGTTGCCCGCAACGGGGAGGGTCGTCCGCCAGCAGTGGCTGGAGCAAGCAGTCCAACACATAGCAGTAGGGCTTTCACGACCAATGTTATACATAATGAAGGTTTTTTTTTGGTGAGATCGCGTAAATATAAACGTGTCGTTAACCCGCAGCCACCCGACACAGCCAATTAGTAAGGTTTGTCATGGAGAAACATGGAAGACCTCCTCGCAATTGTGGCTAATCGTATGACGAAGCTGGTTGTGACCGCCAACGAAACGTCGTACTCGAACTGTAAATGTTGTTTGGTTTCCTCTCCAACGCACAGCCGGCGTGCCGAAGTGGTAACGAGTCGGTGTGCTTCGTCTCCGTGGCAAACCCCCTTGATGATTGAGCGAGCAATCGCGGGGCCTTTTTTTGCCTCGGCGTAACATTTTTTTTTGTCCCTCGCGCAGTTTCTTTCAGGACGGCCTCAAAGCCGTCGAGTCCCTCAAGTCGTACGTGGAGAAACTCGCCAACGACCTCTACTCGGTGAGTGGGGATCGCGAGCGCCAAATTCTGCCGCTCCAAACGGCTCCCCTCTGCCCATCCCCCCCCCCATGCCTACCGGTAATTAGAACGGACAGGTTATACAATATGCCGTGTTGTGAACACTAAGCGCCTAAAAGCCATTGGGGAAAAATGAAAAAAAAAATACCCTTCGCCGTTTTGAGAGGCAGCCGCTATCACCGTCACACTGAAATACGCTCGTTTTTGGGCGTTGTGGACGGACGCACGGAGCCCTCACCATTGATGTGTGGGTTGAGCGCAAACATCGGCGTCTGGCAGGGAGAGGCTGCTTTTTAAAAATTACAATTTGCCAAATGCTCGCGCAAAGGGTCTAAACGCCAAGCAGCCAGCAACTAACATCACTGTTGAAATGGACACGGGTTGAATCGAGCAAGGTTATGAGGATGACGTCTTATCATCATCTTGGCCAGCGAAGCGGATGCTTTTCGTGATGGATTGTGTCTGAAAGTTTCGAGTGACACTTCAATCGATTTGGCAGGTTGTCTGCAGGATAAATCCCGAATAGCGACAACGTTATCGATTTAAAGTTTCATTCGTTTTGGACCATCTTTACGGGAGTTATGGTGACCCCACTTTGCAGACCGACGGACAAACGGGCAGAGTCGGTGCTAACCTAACACACAGATTTTTCTATTCTTGTGATTTAGTCTGACTTGCTGGTGTCCAGCATGAAGCGCCACGAATCCAATTGATGACTTTTGTCATGAGAATCGCTCTTCCACTCACTGGTGGCGAACGAGCCACAACAACAACAATAATTTGCGCGTCGTTAAACCCTCGTACTCGTGACCACTTAATTTGTTTCGCTATGCCGGGTGGTGGAGAGCCTCGCAACGTAAATATGGCTCAATTGCTACGTCGCCTCTCCCAAAAATCAATTTTAAATCACGATATTGGCCTGTGCGAAACCTTCTTGCTCGATCATAGTGACTGTTGAGAAAAATAAGTGGCATTGGGCAATGACTCACCACGTGGCTCGAAAGGATGATGATGGCCGTCCGTGGAGACGAGTGACAGAGTGGCATCCAAAGCGTGGGGGGAACCGTGCGGAGAGAGGGGCGAGAGAGGGGGGCATCTGCCGCAGAGTTGCGCCGACGCTTCCTAAAATCGTCGCCGCTAACGACGCGTGCCCCGTGCGCTTGTCCCCCGGCACACAGATCAAGCAGAGTCAGGACGAGGAGCGCAAGCAGCTGTGCTCGCTGCGGGACACGCTCAAGACCTGCCTGCAGGTGGAGCAGAAAGAGGTACGGGCGACCGTGGCATCACCAGGGGGGTGCACGTGACGGGTCAGGGCGGTTGCGATGTCTGGAGCTCCCCAACCCCCCATCTTGTTATAGAGGGGTTTGCCGGTTGTGGTTTGGGTGCCAGGTAGGGGAGAAAAAGCTGTTAATTGACTTGTTTTAATTTAAAGCTTTCGTGACTGCAGGGATTCATATTCTTGGTTCTTTCGGTAAAGTCACGTAGAAGGGAAATAATAAAATAAAATAAAAATAAAAAATAAATATAGAACAACAATATTTATATTATTTTATTATTTCCCTTCTATGTGACTTTACCGAAAGAACCAAGAATATAATTGTCTTGTTTAAAATTCATTTTTAAGCCAATGATGCCCGCATCATATAGTGGTAGAGTCGGGACCGGTGCTTAGGGGGGTGCACTGCGGTGGGTCCTGCACCACCAGATCTCCCCCCCCGCTGCTTCAAATTTAAACATGATAAGCCACTTGGTTGAGCTATTATTTGTGTTGCCAGGTCGCTTATGAAATATAGCTGTACAGCTCAGTGGGCCTTACCTGGTAAAATAAAAATAGTTAATAGTAAAAAAAAAATCGCCAATGAATGAAGATGTGTGAGTGCCCGGTTGCCACCGGGCCCATGAGCTGGTGTGGGCTAAGGGCTTTTGTGCCACGATCGAATCCTCCATCGCCAATGGGCACGGGTGGGAACTTTTTAATTTGGGCCATCAAATACCTTTGCCGGGCAACCACACTTTGACGCACGCACCTCAGTCCCTTCCGCCGCTGCAATAGACGCGGGGCCCTTCAAGTGTCAGCGGTGACGGAGGGCGGCGCTAAAATTAGAAACGGCGCCGTTGCCAGGTCGAAAATTTTCCTCCTCTAGTACCCGATTAGTGTGGCTCACATGCTCGCAGTGGCGAATCAATATCGTGTGCGGGGCCACGTCGCAGCGGCAGGGCGTCGTGTGGCCACGGGCTGTCGGATTCCCCCAGCCTTAGCCAAGAGGTTCAGCGGGAACAATTCATGATGTTCCTACTCTAAACCCCCCTGATGATTAGTGCGGCTGAAATAAAAATAGAAAGGCTCGGGCAGTCGGCTGTTCGAGTCAAAGTGATGCAGTGTAAATTCACGCGGGACCCGGAGTGTGAACGAAAAGATTAAAAAAGACATGTTTATATTCACTCCACTTCACGAGCCCTTTCTCAATCCACTGCTGGATGAAGGCTCCGTCCCACCCCGTGCCGTGTTGGCCCCCCCTTCCCCATTTACCAACTCTCACATTGGCGAGCGTGGGGAAGTATGATCAAACAACCCCCTCGACTGATGGTGGAATATCTCACCGGCTTGTGCGTTGTATCATGCTGTCTGGCCAATTCCACGTTCGTCTTTGCACGTGACTTGAATTGTACAGTGCGGGGAGTCTCATCAAGTCAAAATCGGCGTCTTCTCTGCTCAGAGGTGCGAAGGGCAGTGCTCATTTGTACTGGTAGCTCTTAAGAGGGTGGTGAAAATTCCACATTCAAATGGGGAGTGGGTGCCAGCATATCGATAAAACTTGCTGAAAGTGGGAGATTAAACGTCTTTTAAAAAATCCAACTTACAAATCTGTTAAGAGAAAAATGATTTCCATCGTCTTTATTCAACTCGGTGAACATTTCCCTGCAAGGTTTTTCCCCCCTTGGAACCGCTTTAGACATTCGGTTGAGACATTTAATCTGAGATGTGTTCGATCCGGAGCATTTCGCCAACGTTCGTTGCCACTGGCAGCTAATGTTCCTCTGATGGCAGAAGCAGCAGCGGCGGCGGCAGTTTCGGCTTCAAAGCGATCGTCCTCATTAAAAATGCATCACAGCCCGGCAGCGTAAGAGGCATTAAAAGCCAGCAGCCGCCCGTCTCCCACGTTTGAAAGTGCGCACCATCTCGAGGGCCGTTTAACTCTCCCCTCGACCGTCGTGCCAGGCAATGGCAAGGAGCGGTGGCGACGTTGGGCCTCGTTTTGGGGCCTCGTTGACGACGACGAACGATGGAGGACGATGCCCCAGGGCTGCCTTGTTTTGACAGCCGGTTCAATTGCCATGGACACTATGGCCGTGGTGTAACGGTTGGCATACTGGACTTTGTAATCCAGAGGTCGCCGGATTAGTGCGGTTCAAATACGCCAGCGGAATCCGTGGATACACCACAGGTTAGCCGATCAGCAGGTCGCGTGGGGTAGGGTAGAGCGTGTGGTTTACTCCCACCTCTTCTAAGACGTCTTGCCAGCGCTGAAGAAGAGGCCAAGTATCCTCTAGAGGGGGCCTCTCTGGTGTATAAATGTGTGTTGAACTTTTCTCGCACCGCACGTACCCAACTGTGCTAATCGGAGGTGCGGGGGGAAGGACAACAAACTAAACACAAAAAAAATTCTAAACAAATTAGTTTTCAAGATTAAAAAAGTGCATAGCTTCAGTGGCTTCTTAATAATAGTGCTCCCTATAGCACAGGCCCTTCCGCCAGCAGTGGTTTTAGCAAGAATTCGCAGGTCTGCACCTTTACCTTCAATTGGCCCCTTGTGATATATTTAAAGGCGCGATTGTGTTCATTGTTTGGATTGCATCCTTTAACGTCACATCCAAAATCTAATTTATAGGTGATTAGAAGGCGAACACGGAGAAGGAGAAAGGGGGGTGGCCAAGACGGCGTGAGCGGTGACTGCGTTACCAAGTTTTACACGCCCAGATGCACTTCACCGATCAATCACTGTTGGAGGGAGCGGGGTAGCTGGGCCCAGTGTTCCGCTCGAGGAGGAGCGCAGCGCCAAAGGGCTCCTCCTGCGCTGCTGACGACGATAATAAACGTGCTTAAACTTCCCAAACCCGTACTGCTGACCCCGAGCACCCTGTTGCACGGCTGCAATGTAAAAATATATCAATCCTATAGCCGTATAATGGGAGAGCAGTGGTGCAGTGGCTAAGACGTTGCGCAATTAAACTGGCCGTCCGAATCGTTTGATTCCCGGCCACGGTTACCGTCATTGGCGGCTCACGAGTGAGAACCGGTCCTGGGCGCACCCCCTACCACCTCCTCACCGGCTTGTACCGACCAGCGTGATGGAGTATGGTCACATGACCTCCGTGACCAACAAGGCGAGGGGGGGGGAGGAGTGAGGCCTTCATCCCGGAGTGGATTGACGAGGGGGGCTCCGAGTCGTAAATTATTTGGCAATGAAAGAGACTCTTAGGTTTTTTCGGTAAAGTCACGTAGGTAAAAAATAAAATTAAAAGTTAATAAAAGTGATAATGGAAATAAAATAATAAATCACGTAATAATGGAAATAAAATAATAAAAGTAATAATGGAAATACAAATATTTTATTTCCATTAATACTTTTATTAACTTTAAATTGTATTTTTTACCTACGTGACTTTACCGAAAAAACCTAAGAGTATGAATCTTTGCAGTCACGAAAGCTTCAAATCTAGAATGAAAGAGACGTCCCGCGTCAGACAGGGAAACAAAGAAGGTACTCGCAAAAGGTGGAGAGAAAGCAGCAGGGGGCAATCCAATTCTGCCATGTCAGGGGGGTGATGCTGTGTGAAGATTAGCGCGTGAGGCAGGTATTTGATCTCCCCTGCGCGGGCGCCCTTTGGGCTCCCTGATTAAGCGACTTTCCCCGGGCAGCTGAGATGGCACGGCGGGGGGTGGGGGGAGGTGCTCGATTGCTTGGGCAAGATGAATCTCGAGGTGAAGGAAGGTGGCGAGGACCTGCGATCATTTATTTGGCTCTCTGGGGGCGGATGGGGTCGGGGGATGGGAAAGATGACGGTGACTCTTCTCACTGATAAGGACTCGGACGCACGTTTGTCCGCCCGTCAGAGTTGACTCTTGAGCGGCACGTGCAAACGAGCGTCCAGGGGTAACCACGCCGAGACGTGTCGCCACCCGGGCCTCGTGCCATCGACTCACCCCGCAGCCCGGCAGACGCCGCTCGTTTTTGTTTTGTCGGCATCGTCGCGACGGCTCCCGCTCGCCCGTCTGGCCGCCGTAGCCATCCGCAGATCGACTGAGCTACCTACCTCCGTGAGCACCCATTACAGCAATTACCTGATAATCCTCAGCGTGGCTGCAATACTGAGGGCCGTGCACCACGAGAGGGGGTTGGAGAAGGGGGAGCGGTGTGGAGATGGGGGCGGAGCACCGGAGAGCTTTACTGTTGCCGCTGCTGCTTCTGCACGCTATCCCGTTGCCGAATAATGGATCGTCAGCAAATAAATTATACAGAGCCCTGACACTTCCCCCGCTGCACTGCGGTCAGGATTCCGGGGGGGTGTGGTGGAGATCCATGGCCGGATTTGCTCCGGCGTCCGCCCCTTAAAAAGATCTCTGCCCTTGGGATCTGCCTCTAAAGCTCCGGGCCGGGGAGTATGGTCCTCAGTGGTGCTCGGTGTCGCTTAGCGCCGTGTCGACCGCCGATTCATTCGTGGGACGCTTGCGGGCGAGTGGGAGCCGGCTGCCGTAGGCCTCGTTCGCGTAAACATGCATCTCAGGGCCAACCCCACCTTATCCTCCTGCTGCCGGTAACGTGTGGCTTTTTGGTTCACGGTAATGAGTGGCTTTTTGGTTGACGGTAACGCGTGGCTTTTTGCTTCATGGCAATGTTTTGATTTTTGGTTCACGGTAACGTGTGGCTTTTTGGTTCATGCGCTCATCTCCGTTTGTTATTCTGCGTTCCTCAAACTAAATTCGGTTGCCATTGACGAGAACGCGTGGAGCTGTTCGACTTGCCAGCCGTGTGGCCGTTGAGTTTTTTTAATTTAGACATCTCTCAGGAGAGTAACGCCACACGAGCTCCAGGTGTTAAGTTGCCATGTTGCGTCATTGGCGCTGCAAATTGGTTTTTTCGTCAAATTTAACGTGCGAACGGGAGGCGATGGTGACGCGTTTATTTTGGTTTCCCGGAGATGGCCACCACGCGTTGTCTCCGCATTCGGCGAGCGCGAGTAAGGGCAGGTTCTAAGCTGTCGCCCCTTTTTGTCACAGCCGTCAGCCGTCATGCTCTGTGAAGACGTGTCGGGGGGAGTGTTTTACGGAGGTGTTTGAAGGTGCTTTGCAACGAGCGCTGTTACAGCTCTCCGATGTGCTCTCAAGATGTTCGGTATTGATGTCCGACGTTTCGCTCCACATGCTGTTGGGAGCTTCTTCACCAACCGTGTTCAGGAAGTGTGTTCCTGAAGAAGCTCCCGGCACGCGGAGTGAAACGTCGGACACCGTGCCGAGACAACACCGCGGCACAGCCCCTATACACATCGGAGAGCTGTACAGCACAACAGCGAAAACCTACGCACTGGTTTAGACCAGTGAGTATATGAATTTCATTTATTTCCACGTAGTTGATATATTGCCTATTCAGTAATTATGAACAGTTTTATGAAATTTTTACCGGAGGATTTTTTTCTAGCTTGCTCAGTATATTGCTCAGTTATTTTTGTCTAGATAACTTTTCAAATGGCACGATTTCCCCGGCAGAACCCTTCGTTGAGAATTGTGCAAAAGACACACATTGCTCTGCATAAGCACAGCACGTCAACTGTGATCAATTACCGGTTACTGCGTTAGTTTGTTGTACCAGACCCCCGCTGAGTTGCTGTTGCTGCTACTGTTGCTGCTGCTTCTGCGAGCAGATTTCACTTGGACGTAGTACTGAGGTAGGCACGAGTGCGGCACCGCTTACCATTTTTTTTGGTTTGCCGTAAGTTGCCGTGACGAAGGAAGGCTTCGAGAGTCGAATTGTGGAAGCTCTTTGCTTTGCAAACGTACAAAAGGAATAGGCCTTGAGGCGGCAGGGCTCGTTCTATTTAAATGCATTCTGCTCTCTTTCTAGCAACGCGCGAGACTAATTAGCGGTAAAGCCTCTAAAGCATTGCGGGCCCAGGATCTATTTGACAATTCTATTTTGGTGAGCACGCGCCTACGAGGCGGCGCTCTTCAAACGATGTTTCTCTTTCTCTTTTGCTTTGCTCGAATTAGTGCTTTTATGGCTTTCTGTTTGTTTGTTTTTCGTAGTTGCTTTCAACGTACGGCGGCGTGGCATTTAATCAAGGGGGGGGGGGGGAGCACTGCCGACAGCCGCCGTGAGCTCAAAGCCAAGGCTGGTTGCCAAAAATATAAAGCTGCAAAAAAATCCGTGCTGTTTTCTGAGAAGTCACTAAATCTCTCGTTCCCCTCCCCCGCGCTGCCTGTTTGCCTCTTCTACTCCCAAGTCTAGAAGAGTAAGTGCAGATTTCTGTTCCGCTCCACGGTTTCCACTCCACCGCTTGCCCTCTCGCCCGCCCGCCCGCTCGCTTGCCCGCCCGTCCGTGCCATCGTCTGTGCGTCGTCGGTGCCGCCCTCCGGTCTCTTCATTGCCGCCGGATGCGTCGCGCGTTACATCTCCACTCGCGGTGCCCCGCCGAGATTCCAGGGTTTGACTCCAGGTTTCGCCACCTGTCATTAAACCGGTGTTTCTCGAGTTGCATTAAACGTGGCGGTTCGTTTAATTTGCCAGAATTCCAGCTCTGAGAGTAAAAATTCTCGATTTGACCGTCGTGTGGCAAACCTCGCCCTTCATATGCAGAGCGAGTGGGAAAGTGCTGCCCTCTACTGTGTGTAGAACCAGAGGTCACGTGATGAAGGGATCTCAGCGGTAGCTCTGTGATGTCCTCTTCCATGGGTCGTTCTCGACCACGCAGAGGTTACACTGCTCTGTGAACGATACGAAAGGTTGCATCGTCGCGTGACGTCACGGCGAGAGTACATTCGGGATAAAAGTGTGGATAAAATGACAAAAACAATCCGATCCGCGGCTGTTTTAGCTGCATGTTGACACGGGAAGTCTTCTAAGTGGGCGTAGCTGTGGTGCCAGTGGCACGAAGTAGACAATTAATATTTGCGATGGAAATTTCAAAAACTGGCAGACTTCACTCAGTCAAATCGTCGCTGCCATCTCAGCTTAGATCCTAAAACTTAACCATCCGGTTTCCTTTCACGGTGCGCATCGTCTCCCTGTGTGTGATGGTTTTTTCCGGTGATTGTTCAGTTACAAAGTACCACAATTCTTCATCGTGTTGTGCTTGACACCTGTTGAGGGTGAATGAGTGTCCGTTCGATTTCCGTTTTGGAATGCAATGTTATGATTATTTCTCCCTCAACTTATCAAGTGACTAATTGGGTTAAAAACCTTTTGAGTATCAGGGGAATGTTGATGACATAAAGGTTCAGTTTTACATCAATAAGTGTTAATCTCCACAACATTGATGTGAACACCAGCTTACAGTTACATGCGACATCGTGTGTGTGTCGTATCTCCTCGTAAAATTGTAATAATTCGTAGCCCGTGATCAAAATCCACTGCTGAATTAAGGCCTCCCAAAGCATTGTTACTGATGGGGTTTGTTTGACCATACTTCTAAACACGCGTTCGTTCGGATATCACCTGCCACTGACTATTAGCCATGGCCGGGGGAAGAACTTGGGTAGCCTGGTTCGTAGTAAGTGCATTTCTAAACGCTCACACCTTATATAACCTAGCTCACCACGAGTGCGCAAACCGCCGCGCCACCGGTCCCCCTCACTTGAACTTCCTTTATCAACAAACCTGAGGGATAAAAGTTATCCTGAGGTGTTTTTTATGCCATTGAACCGCCGCAGGGCAGTATACCCGGTTGACGCGCGGAACGTCGCGTCAACGTTGACCCAACGACGTTGGACGAGTGAGTTCGCCGATCCGAGCCGGGTGATTTATGAGCTCGGCCGTCTCCCCTGCCGGCCATTGTCGGTGGGGCCTTCCCTGCGGGGCCTGCCCACGTGCGCGTGCACTACTTTGGAAGCCATTGGCGCGTTGGGGCTCGGGGACGTGTGCCCCCCCGCCTCCCCCCCACTTAGTCAGCCTCGGCCGTAAGCCGGTACAGTCGGTGCTGCGGTGCGTAGACACCGGCACCGGGGGAGACAAATGTGGCCGGGGCGCGGTACTGCAGACGGAGCGCCTCCTTGTGCATCGTGCCGGCCTTCAGAATCGGTGCTCGGCTGACGACGCTTCGCCCCCTCCCCCGCACTCCCCAACGGCCTGCGTGATGTTTGTGCTCGTGGGTGCCGTGTGCCAGGATTCGCAGGGGAGGCAGAGCGGTGCCGGCTACAGCCTGCACCAGCTGCAGGGCAACAAGGAGCACGGCAGCGAACGCACCGGCTACCTCTTCAAGAAGAGCGAGGGGTGAGTGAGCAGGCCGGGCGCTCGCGCGTGCAGGAGGTGCCGCCGGTGGGGGTCAGGGCGGCGATGGTTACGTGCGGCTGGAGCGTGCAGCGGTATGCTGTGGCTGCTACTGCTGGAGCAGAAGGAGGGTGGCTGTGTATGTGCTTTTTTATGAAGGTGCAGCTTTTGTAGGGTTGGTTGAGGACACGTGCAGGAGGAGGAATGCTGGGTAAAAAAATATAACGTTTACCCAGGAGAGTCTGGCTGAGTCTCAAGACTTTTTCAGGAGGGCCCTGCCACGTTTCGTCATCGTGGGTGGTGATTGCGATGTGCTTTCCCCCATTTGGAGTAATTTTCGGGTACATTTTCAAATTTGGTGATTTTTGAACCACGACTCCAGGCACGTGTGTGGTCTCTTGCTCTTTTTTTCAATCAACGTCACGGAATTTTCGAGGGCCACTGCTGAAGCAGACTATCTGGTTAAAACGGTATTAACCGGGGTGGCTGCAGGGTGCGAACCTCTACAACAGGTGGTAAAATGTGCTTCTGCTCGGCCACTTCACCGCCCGAATTTGCTTGGAGAATGGGGCGGAGAACAAGGCGCTGCTCTCTCACGTATTTTTCCGGTTGGTACACAGGAGGTCGTGGGTTCGATTCCAACCCTGACGCCTGCTGTATATTTGTTCTCTGTCCACGTGGTCACGTGGATTCTTCCCCGCACATTTAGAATCGACATGCGTTTAGAGTATTTGGCTGCTATAAATTACCACACGATAAGGTCGCTCCTGACGTTTTTGCTCGACACGGTTGGAGATCCTTCGGAAACTGAAAACAACGCACGGCGAGCCACGCATCACGACCGCGAAAACCCACGCGTTCTCGGATGTGGTGGCGCGCGCGGTTTATTCGTGCCCAAATAATGTATTTTGGTTTTCATCACAAGAGCAAATGTAAATGTATGGCCTTGTCACGGGGAGTAGGAGACAGCGATCGCTCTCTTGTCGACTCAGTCTTGAATTGAGCCCAGAAAACCTCTGTGAGGCGTGGGAGTCATCTATTAATAGCACTTTCATTTATCCAAAGACACTCGCAGTCACACTCATTTTTAAATGCCAACCCGTTCATTGGCTCTTCACATTCTCAAATGTCAACCGCGCGAGCTGCCGCGAAGATTAATTGAGCTGCCCTTACAAGTGGCACCAAGCGTGTTACAAGTGCGAATCGCCGTCACTTTTACCTGAACGCTGCCACTCGCGCAACACGCCGCGACATCTGTTATTGATGTCTCCCGTGACAGTCGAGCGTTGTTGTTGTTGACGGATGTCGCGATACCGCCCATGATGAGCCAAATCTCTCTCTCGCCCTCTCCGCTTCGGAAACGCGTGCGCAGAATTCGCAAGGTCTGGCAGAAGAGGTCGTGCGCGGTGAAGAACGGGTACCTGACGATCTCGCACGGCACGGTGAGGGGTTCCGCGATCCGCTCTCTCGTCTGCGTCGTCACCGCGGTTTCATTTTCACGCGGGATGTTGCACGGACGGCTATTCCGCTGCAGGAGATGGCCCATGACTAAGTAGTCACAAGGGGTGGGTTTCAGTTTTGCTGATCGATCTGAAGAATTCTGAAAATCGGGCTTGCGTTAAAAATTTTGCGCGATCCAAAATGGTTTCTTTTTTTTTTTACACTTCTTGTGATTTTTTTTGTAAATCTGAAACTCATCCCCTTGTCACCACAGAAATGTTAAGTTTACTTGGATTTGTTACACAAATGAATGTACGTTGAACGTGTTTGGCACTGTACATTGCCAACCGTGCTAATCGGAGGTTTTGGGTGAAGCACAGCAAACTACACGGAACTGTTTAGCCAGTTGCCCGGCTATTTTACAAGGGAGATCCGTGGTGCAAGAGCACAGCAACAACAAAATAAAGACAAACACATCAATAGTGCAGAGAATGAGTACAGGGTCCCTGAGAAATATTGCACAACTAAAAAAACGAGTTATTCAAAGGTCATAAATGAAACGCAAGAGAATCAACTAACATTGTCTTCATATTCTTAGGTTTTTTCGGTAAAGTCACGTAGGTAAAAAAATTACATTAATAAAAGTAAAATAAAAATAAAATAAAAATCTAAGAATATGAATCCTTGCAGTCACGAAAGCTTCAAATCTAGAATTAACATTGTCTTCCCCGCGCGTCTCGTGCCTCTGTCCCCACAGGTGAACCAACCGCCTGCTAAGCTGAACCTGCTGACGTGCCAGGTAAAGCCGTACCCCGACGACAAGAAGAGCTTCGACCTCATCTCACGTAACTATCCCTCGTGTGCTGCACACCACCGGCAGAGATGCTGCCTGACCCGTTCGCTCGCCCACTCTCTCACCCTCTCGCTCGCTCACCCGCTCTCTCGCCCGCTCTCTCACCCTCTCGCTCACTCGTTCGCCCGCTCGCTCACCCACTCGCTCGCTCGCCCGCTCGCTCACCCGCTCGCTCTCTCGCTCGCCCGTGAGTGAGAGAGCCCATCGTGCGCACACGTCGTCTTGCGAGCCATGACGAATTCCCGGAGGATATTCACTGATATATAGAATTTTAGTAAAATGTACTTTTTTTTAATGTCGTGTGCCGTACTTGCACGCTGCTGCTGCGGCACAATGGCGAGCAGCGCGCTGCACTAGCAACCCAGAGGTCGCCAGTTCGATGAGAATATTCCGACTCGGCCTTTGAAACAATTGGGGAATTTTTTTAAATCCCCCACACCACCCCCTCCCCCCCACTACCGCCTCCTCGGTCGACCCAGCGGTGTGAGTGGGTTCGGCACGGTTAGTCGATCGGGTAAAACGTGAGTACTCCCACTTTCTCCAAGGTGTCTTGCCAGCGTGGACGAGAAGACCAAAGTACCCGCGAGAGGGGCTCTCCTAGAACAAGTGGTGTGAGCAAACGATTGCAGGGATGCATCCTTAACCTTGTACTGTTATTCAAAGCAAACGTAACCACTTAATCGTTACGTTTCATGAACTCTGCACGGATTTTCTTCATAAATTTTGCACTTTCCCCTACCTGCAGCTCAGCGCCTGCTTGTGCCGTTTATTCTAAGGCGGCCGTCACTGCCAGCTCTGCCATCGCCGCTGCTGCTGCTGCGCTTATATAAATGCAGGCGGCACGGCGTGCCTGCCGCTGATTTGTTGATCAATCGCCGCATGTTGCCGTCCTCGGTGTGCAGACAACCGGACGTATCACTTTCAAGCCGAGGACGACCAGGACTGCCTCATGTGAGCACCCCGCCCCTCCCCGCCCCCCCGCTCTCGGCACACGTATGCACGTTTAACTTTTTTCGCGCCGTACGTAGCCAACCATGCTAATCGGAGGTGTGACCGCGCTTACGTAGCATTCTCCGCTCGTTGCTGGGGGCCGTGGTTGGAGCCCACGGGCGCTCTGGATTATTGTTGTTTTTATTAAGCGTTTTTATTATTATTGTTTTTCAAGAGCCAAGGATACAGTCGGAATATCAGAGGGAGGGTGAGACGGCGTTTAGCGAATCGTGCGATTGACGTGGCGAGTCACTGCACCTTTGTCATTCGGGAACGGACGGGGGCAATGGCCACCCTAGTTAACACACCCGAGCAGGTGTGTTAACCATTAAAAAAATGAAATACACAAGGCCTGCTTCGCAGCTGACACGTTAAAGATCCGGTTAGACTCTTCAAAAAGGAGTAGTAGGCCATGTGTGCTGGCAGCTTGGAATTTTTTTTGCCAATTTCCTAAAATTACTTAATTGGGAAACCCATAAATCCCTCCCACCCTCCTACAGTGACCCTCCTGGTAAAAGAGTCCCAAGACTCGGTGAGGCTTTCCTGGGGAAATAATGTAAATCTAATAAATAATAGTACAGCCGTGGTGCACTATTATACTCGAGGTCCTGAAGGGCGAGATCTTTAACCTGGCAGCAACACTAATAACGTGAGTGCACTCGGCCACCTCTGACACTGCAAGGGTGCTGTTGCGGTGACACGAGTGATTTGTTGCTTGGAGACCGGGAGATCATTGATCCGCCGGGTTGGTGGTGGCGTCAGTCGTGATATCTCACTTAACAGAGCCGGCCGTGTGATGACCGCCGTCTTCCACTGCAGTGACAGAAGCGACGCCGCTGTTGCGACGCCGCTGTTGCGACGCCGAGCTTGCGACGCTACGGTTGTGTTCGCAGGTGGATCTCGGTGCTGACGAACAGCAAGGAGGAGGCGCTGAACATGGCGTTCAGCGGCGAGGCGGGCAGCGACGAGTGCGACAGTGCCACGGACCTCACCAAGGACATCATCGCCGACATCCTGCGCACGCCCGGCAACAACAGCTGCTGCGACTGCGATGCACCGGGTACGCGGCGCCGCTCCTCGGGGCTCGTCTCGGCACGCTGTGCAGCGCACCAGCGATCGCCGGTCGTGTTTTTATGTTTTTCTTTTACCAGGTAAAGGCCCACTGAGCTATGTAGCTCTTTATCAGAAGCGACCTGGTCACAAATGATAGCTCGACGAAATGGACTATCACGTGGAAATGTAGAGCAGCCAAATACTATAATAAAATTATATTTAATTTTAATTTTATTTTTATTTCCATTCTACGTGACTTTACCGAAAGAACCAAGAAGATGAATCCCTGCAGTCACGAAAGCTTTAAATCGAAATTCAGCCAAATACTGTAAGCGCACGTTTCTGAATGTGGAGGGGAAAACCGGAGGAGCCGGAGAAAAATCCACATGATCACGAGGAGGTCATGTAAACTCCAAATATAGAGCAGGCGTCAGGGTCGAGATGGAGCCCACGAGGTAGTTCACGCTGCTGCCCCTGCCGTGAGGTTTACGTTGATCGTGCGCGCGTCGTGAGTACGTTTGGAGGAGGAGGACCTGTGTGAAACGTCTCCCCCCACCCCCTGCTGCCTCGTGCCTTTATTTAATTTCCTTGATTTGTCTCTCGTTTGCCCCAACTCTATCCCCGCATGCCCTGTCGGCATGTCACCACAAATGGTTGTTGATTTGCACGTGGAGACACAGAATGGGGTCCCGCCCTTTGTACGCTTTTACCCATGATGCTCCACAGCAACGCGTCACCACGAGGGAGGGGTTTAGAAGCAAGGTTTATGCAAAGTGGCGGATCCAAGGCGGGGGGGGGCGATGCGGGCAGTTGCCCCCACCCACCCCCCATGAAGTAAAGTCCCTGACAATTGGTAATTTATTGCGATTTATTGAGTTTTTTTGGCTTAAGTATAATAATATTTATATTAAAAAGTGGCAATCAACCGACCAAGAAAAAAGCAATGAGTGTAATGGTTTCAAGAAAAATATCTGGCCGTTCCCCCCTTCACCACCCCTCCGTGCCCCCGCCCCCCCATGCCCCCCCCCCCCCGCCGCCCCCTCATCATCATCGTTGCTGCTGCTGCCTTGCGCTCTGCACAGATCCGTCGTGGCTCTCCACCAACTTGGGCATCCTGACGTGCATCGAGTGCTCGGGGATCCACCGCGAGATGGGCGTCCACGTCTCACGCATCCAGTCGCTAACGCTCGACGTCCTGGGAACCTCCGAGCTGCTGGTTGGTCTCGCGGCATCTGGCGTGCGGCGGTGTCTGTCTCACGGGGCCTGTGTGTCGCTCGGAATGATGCGCCACGAGAGGCTTCGGAGAGCTGAGTGGACTTGACGATGACCGGTACGAACGGTGTCAAAGGTCAGCCTCTGTGGAGGAGGAGGCTCGTGAAGGACGCAGTCGCCCTCCAGCAACAACGGAGAGTGGAGGAGCGACGCTCACAATAACGAGCGGAGTGCCGGGCCGCTATAGCACAGCGAGTTGGCACAGTAGAGGGCACAGGAGGCGCACCTAGGTTTGTCCCGTGACCTCCTACCAGCGGGTATTCGACTTCACGTTGCCTTAAAGTGGACATAGCCTGGCACGTGAAGTGGCGAAGGCTCGCTGACAGGAGGTCACGGGACAGACCTAAGTGCCATGGGTTGACTGAGATGACTGGCAGATGCACCAGCTGTGCTTGTCTCCCCACAGCCATGCTCTACGCATCTTCCTTACCTTGGGGCTCTCTCGTTAAAGAGCCCCGTGCCTGCGCCTGCCTCTGTTCTCGTCTGTGATTGTGGACAGTGGCTTAGCTGTTGAGCTGTGCAGGCAGTGCAACTGCACCGGGGCTTATGGACCGGAGTGACCCAGGCACCGCGCTACGATAAGAGGGGGGGGGGGGAGAAATTACGTTCCATTCCTTGCGCCAGGGCCCATGCCGACCAGGCTATGCCACTGGCCGTGGGTGTGTCTGCGGTGCGGCCACAGCAGGGGTTTACTTGGTGGGTGCCCACTCTCGTGCCTGTGCGTCATTTCTAACGGACCGCGCGTCCTTCCCTTTTAGTCCGCTCGGTGGTACAGCCCGATATTTCTTGCTAATTGAACTCCTGCCCTTACATCAAGGGGTGTGTGAAATTGATTTGGCAACGCAGGTCCTAATCTATTACTCGTGAGTGATGTGCCTTGCCCTCCGTCTTTCATTGCCTCGGTCCCGTTCACAATTACGTTTCGTCAAACTGGTGAAGCTATGGTTGTTATTTTTTTTTATTAGGGCATTATCTCGGCTATCTATAATCGTTTTTCTAAGTAATGAGCAGTGATTTGCAGATGATTCCACAGGCACGAGCCTCAGACGTCAATTCGATCTCTCACGGTAACTTCGCTGCAGAGGCCATTGTTCCACCTTCGCGGGGTGTTTTAGCGTCGCGGTCGGCCCTTGCCCGGCTCTGTGCGAATAGAGGATTCAGCAGAGTCGTTGGGTAACTCCAAGGGCACGCAGGGAAGGCTTTTGCTTTTCCTCCCAGGCAGACGAGTCCGCAGGCCAGGCAGTCCCACCACCCCCGCCCCTCTCCCACCACCAGCCCCATAGCAAGGGTGAGATTTACGTTTTGACCTAGAGGAGTGACCTTCATAGCTCCCGAGCTACAGCTCCCTGGCACTGCACACTGTCGTTATTGTTACTTGTTTTTCTCTTTTTTTGTAACTTGCATCGTCTGACATGTAAGGCTAATCAATCGTTCAGCTTACCACCTGCCGGCTTTGCGGCCCAGCACAGCATTGCATTGAGTGCCTTCCGTGTAGGGTCGAAAGCGTTAATGCATTAGCTCTGTCCGTCTCTCCGTCCGTCCGTCGGTCCATCGCGGGTTGATGGGGGTGTCCCGATAACTCCGGTAAAGATGATCCAATGTGAATTAAACTGTAGTATGAAGTCTCATCGCTATTAGGGACTCATCCTGTTCATAATCGCCCAAATTTATTAAAGGAGTCTCCAAAAACTTGGGCGACCGGAACGTGTTATGGCCTGACCAGCTAACCTTGAGCTTCCGTACTTCCATCGAAGCACTGCCTTCCAATACAACACATACGGTTGGAAAACTTGCATTGATCCATGCACGTGCATGATTTTTCGCAACTCGTTTGTAACCGACGTCCCTCGTTGGCAGATCGCGCGCAACGTGGGGAACTCGGGGTTCAACGATGTGATGGAGGCTCAGCTGCCGGACGCGTCCAGCTCCAAGCCGACCCCGAACAGCGACATGTGAGGGCGGTCGCTCCTCCCTGCCCGCATCTCACCGCTCGCACGCGCTGTCCCGTGCGTTTCCGGTTTGCGCCGTGCGTTGTCGGAGGTTTCGCCACGCGCGACGATGGGAGAGCTTCGCCAACTTTCGTAACGGGCGGCCGTGTCTCGTCTGCACACGCCCCCCCCGCTTCCGTCCCCCCTCTTCTACCCCCGCCCCCTTGGCCCCCCCGGCCCGTACGCTCGCGCTTTCCCAGGGTGGCGCGCAAGGAGTACATCGTGGCCAAGTACGTGGAGCGGCGGTTCGCCCGCAAGTCGGGCAGCACGTCGGCCGCCAAGCTCAACAACCTGTACAACGCAGTGACGTCGCGCGACGTGCTGGCGCTCGTCGCCGTGCACGCCGAGGGGGTGGACCTCACCGAGGCACTGCCACCGTACCCGGGCCAGGTGTGGGAGGCGGGCGATTGTGCGGGCGAGCGTGCGGGCGAGCATGTGGGCGAGTGGGCTGGCGTGTGGGCGAGCGTGTGCCCGCCGCTCTTAGCGTGATAGTGTAATGCGCATTCACTGCACAAACCATGGCAGATGCGGATACCGGATGCACAAATGGAAAGTTAAAACTCTCCAGTAGTGTGCTGCGACTGTGGTCATCCAGAACAGACCGTACAACGTACAATGACGCAATGCCCCGATCCACAAATACGAACAAGACATTACAGCGATACACTCCGCTACTGCTCCTGACGCGGTTATATGGCTTAACTACCTGAATGTGAAATTGTAGTCGTTGCTATGGTACAAAATACACACATGAAGGACCCACAGACTGACACTGAGATCCGTATACTTTTACGGAGATGCATAGATGAACACAGAGACCCATAGACTCATAGAATAAAACAATACAATGTAGATTCATACATCGCAGCTCAATGCGACCACATCCCAAGAGGCTGTTTCAAAACAATGACCTATAGACTTAGACAGAGATTTATAGGTTTACAAGGAGACCTATAGAATGGCATATAGCATACAATACAGAAGCAGTCGGCACATTGTAGAGCATTGATGGCTGAGGTATGTAAATACGTATGTTGAACTTCTTTCGCATCGTACATAGTCTAACGTTCTAATCGGAGGTGGTGGTGGGGGGAGTTGTAGAGCACGGGGCCAGCAGCCCTGCACCGCGCACACGGCAGGCTCCACGGCAATAGCCACGGTCGCGATGACCTTGCAACCCCACGCAGCAAACATTTACCCGCCGTGCATTGTCGCCCGCCGCCGCTGCTCGTGGGATACGCGATAGGGCTCGTGATAAGATTTTACCGGCGGTTCGCTGCTCCGTGTTTGTGCGCAGGAGGTTGGGGAGACGGCGCTGCACTTGGCCGTCAGGAAGATGGATCGCTGCTCCCTGCACATCGTGGACTTTCTCATTCAGAACAGGTGCCTGGGGTCAGGGGTCACCGCGATAGAGCTCTGGTGCAAGGGTGTAGATGTGCTGGGTTGTGGATAATTCGAGAGATATGCAGCGCGTGAATGCAACAAAAGCTGAAAGAGGAACACGTGGACATGAGAACATACACAAGTTAGATTCATCATATTGTCTATTGAGAAAAGAGAGTGGGTTTTGGCAGAATACGTCGCTGGATGGGAGGATAGCAAGTGGTCGCGTCTAATAACGGATCACGACAGAGGACAATGTGCGGGAGCTGGATAGATTGCTGATTTTGCAAGACTGCTAGAGTTGGCGACGGCTTGGGGAACATCTTCATTCGGCAGCGGATGGAGCACTGCTTGAATGTTGTTTTCCTCAAATGTATTCTCTATTGTCCTCCGTGTGTCATTCTTTTCAATCCGCTTACGGCTGAATGTTTCTCACCAGCGTCGACAAATACAATCGGACGGCCGTTTACCGCCGAAGTGCAAGCGCTCCAGCGTTAATTTTATTCAGAGAGGTGTAGCACCGTTTTTTAAAATACATTGTACTCACCGCAGAGAACTGTAGCGACACGACCGCAATCTACGATAACAGGCGTCAAACTGTGCCACACGGCCCTCCCGCATGGCCTTGTGGGAGCCTCAGTACCGATAAAGTGATTTCTTTTATATTTTATTAGTACGTGTACACGTACGTCATCGGAACGGGAAAGGGTCGGTAGGATCTCGCGAGATCTGACTGACTCGCACGCACGGTTGCTGACCCGCGTTGCGCCGCGACTCCTCCCCGGGGTTAACAACGGGCGCCCTCGCCTTCTCCTCCTCGTTGGCAGCGGGAACCTGAACAAGCAGACGGTGAAGGGGAACACGGCGCTGCACTACTGCTGCGTGTACAACCACACCGAGTGCCTCAAGCTCCTGCTCCGCAGCAAGGCGGCCACGGATATCGGTGAGGGTGCCTGCGTCGTACGGAGAGCAGGGGGTCGTTGTTCCGACTGGGAGGTCGACGAACAGTGATCGCTATCCGAATGAAAATGATCAGTGGCACAATCACAAAATGGACCTGCAATTAAAAATAAATAATCTGGCCATGTTTGAAGGCAGTGATGAACGTCGTTGAGTTTGTTTTGTTTACTGTGCTTGTGCACCACTGCCAACACAGCAGCAGCAGCGTCGCCAAATAATTTGATTATAAAATGACACAGGGAGGGCTGCCTGAAGTTTGCCAGCATCCATCCCCAGGGGAGGTGCGGGGGGGGGGCGAGTGGGGAGCGGTGCATCGCAATATGAACCAGCTCACCGCAGTTCTATTCCCGACCATGGCTAACAACACGAGCGGTGATTGTCTGAACTGGTCATGAGCCTCCCCTAGGTCGTCAACCAGGCCTTAAATGAGAACCTGGTGTGTTGTGTAAACATCAGCACCGGGGAGGCCAAGGCAAGGCGCTGGCCAACAGGTTGCATGGCTACAAGGCGGATCTTTTTCTTTGTACTTTGGCGGCACACAGAGGGGGGAGTAGGTACAGGGGGGGCACAGGTGATGCATCTGCCAGTTATCTCGGTTAGTTAACCTATAATACCTGGATCTGGCCCGTGACCTCTTGCCAAACAGCACCTAGCCTGGCACAAGCGCTGCGGTGACATCACCGTCACTTCCTGGCGACCGGGCAGCCTGTTGTTGTTGGCTGTTGGTGTTCATGCGTGGCTTCAGGAAACCTTTTTGTTCAAACACAACTACCTTCTACATCGCACAGCTGTTGAGAAACACGCCGTGACAAAGGTTGTGTTGGCCTAAGCAAGCTGCCGTGTGTTGTTTTGTGCCAATGTGTGGGTGTGTCTGTGTGTTTGCGTGCAGCAAACGAGAGTGGAGAAACAGCGATGGATATCGCCAAGAGGACCAGACAGTCGCAGTGCGAGGAGCTGGTACGATGGTCTTCTCCCCTTCACGGCACGCTTGCTAACCAGCAGGGGAACATGTGACTAGAATCCACAGCCAGTGGATGTGGCGCGCCCGGGTGTGGAAATACTTTCCGGTTCGCTCAACTGCAAATTTATCCGTAAAGTGGAACAAACGTAGGCATAGTTAAATGAGAATTACATAAAAACGATATCCCAGTGGCCAGCAGTCAAGATCGTCGTCATGTCGTCACGTATCGCACACCTTCCGCTCACATCAGATTTAAGTTCATGCATAGGATTATTGTGCAACTAACCCAATTGCGAGTACACATAGCAATCATCGCCCCCCAACTGCCAGACTAATGCCCGCTTGCAGGCAAGGTGCCGGGTCACCTCGAGATGAGAGATGCAAGCTCGCTTCATCTCGCGTAAATCGCTCCCGAGATGCCCTGGTGTAAAGCAGGCCACTCTCTCTCTCAAAGACAAATCGTCGTGACTATTATTATAATTGTTATTTCCAGCATTTCCCAAAAGTGCAGCTTTGCCTCCAGTTTTGAAATGCATGTGGTATTGACATTGAACCTTTGAAATAGGTCAATGCAGACCTTTATTTTTTGCTGTGCTTCAAGAGACCAGTGCGCCACTTGGTGGACAAAGCGCAGCATTGCCGCCTATCGCACGGTGCCCCCGGGGGACGGTGGAGGCTTGCAGTATACTCCCGGAAAAAAAATCACTCTCTCCGTAGAATGGGCTTGCGACCGCGTTGTATAAAAATGCATTACCCCCGTACCGTCACGTCACGGAGTGGCACGTGAACTGGTGGTGGGAAATCCTGCCGGTGCCAGTAGCACGTATATTTGTGGTGAGCGACGTCTGATTCTGCTGCTGCTGCTGCTGCCACCGATCGCTCCACAGCTGATGCAGGCTCTCATGGGGAAGTTTAACCCGCACATCCACGTGGAGTACGAGTGGCGTCTGGGCGAGAACTTTTTGGACGAGAGCGATGACGAGCTGGATGACAAGGTGACCGCGTGCCTTCCCGCACCGTCCCGCACTGCTGCTGCGAGGTTAACTCACCGCTGCCAACAAACGATTGTGGGCGCCACGGTGGCTAGGAGATGTTAACTACCTCTCTGGGTACACAGGAGGTCGTAGTAATCTTGATTTGAAGCTTTCGTGACTGCAGGAATCCATACTCTTTGGTTCTTCTGGTAAGGAGGTCGTAGATTCGATCCAGACCCTGATGTTACCTGTAAATTTGGAGTTTGTATGTTCTCACTCCCCTTGGCTGCATGGATTTTTCTCCGGGTCCTCCAGGTTTTCCTCCACATTTAGAAACATGCGTTGAGAGTATTTTGCTGCTATAAATTTCCGAGCGATAAGCCACTTCGTTGGGCTATAATTTGTGATAGCCAGCTCGCTTATGAAAAAGAGCCATGTAGCTCAGTAGGCCTTACCTGGTAAAATAAAAATTGTTGGGAGTTATTAAATAAAGTAGAGTGGCGTTCGCGTGACGATGGTGGTTGATGCTCCTCGCCGAGACCCTCCGCCCTGGGCGCATCTCCCCTCGCAGCCCAGCCCGGCGAAGCGCGAGGGCTCGGTGCGCCCCGTCACCGTGTACGGGAGCAGCTCCACCACGCAGGGCGGGGTGCCGCCAGCGCCAGGCGCCGTGCAGCTCCCCATGCCGGGGCCAGGCCCCACGCGCCTACGCCCCAGCAGCTCCACGTTTGACAAGCGCAGCACGGGCGGGGGCGGCGGTGGCGGCGGTGGCGGCGGTGGCGGCGCGAGCGGGCTGGGGGGAGCCGGGGCAGCCTTCCAGGTGGACAACGAGACGTACGGCACCGTGGTGGACGGGGGCAGCGCGCCGACGTCGCCGCCGGGCACCGTGCTGGGCGCACCGCCGCTCCCTCCCAGGAACAAGGGTGAGCCGAGCCTGTGCCGATCCCGTGCCGTGCTGTGCCAGCCCGGTGCAGCTCGGGAGGCGTGACGGCAGAAGCCGAACTTTGCCCGTTGACCTTGCGCGTAATTAAACGAGTCGTAAGTACGTACATACGTTGAATTTCTTTCGCAGTGTACGTAGCCAACCACGCTAATCGGAGGCGTGGAGGAAGAACAACAAACTAATTGCAAAACGAGTCGGGTCTCCCCGCGGCGTACCGGCCAATGTCGCACACGCACGTCAGTCGCGTGCGTAGCGTCCCACAGTTTAAAAAAATCTCATCCCCCCCGTTGCCTTCCCGGTCCACAGGCACCATTCCGCAGGCGCCGCTGATGCCGCCCGGCCTGCCCGGCTCGCTCGACTTGTCCAAGAAGAAACCTCCGCCGCCCCCCCCCGGCGCACCGCTGGGCCCGCCGCCGGCGCCGCCGCAGCCCCCCGGCGGATTTCCCTCGGGCCACAAGCGCGCCATCTCGGACCCCGTGAGCCCGCTGCCGCCGGCACCGCCCGTGCGCGGCACGTCCGTCATAAGTGAGCAGCAGCGGCAACCGCCGCCACCTTCTCTCTCTCTCCACCCGGGGTTCCCTCACCTTTGGTTGCGTGCGCTAGCATTCAAATGTTTGTTTTTCTTCAGCCGCGCCGAGTCGTAGCACAGGGAAGGCTGCCTGAAGGTTGCCAGCATCCATCCCCAGGGGGGTGGGTGGGTTCCTGCCGCGTTTTTTTTTATTTCATGAAGGTTTCCAGCCAATTAATAATGAGTTTTTATTATACAAGCGGGAAGAAACCTGAGCACCGCGGACAAAACGCACGCCACGTGCGAGGGGGCAACACTCTATCCCCGTACAGATGGTACTGCCTTCTCCTGGCGGTCCAGAGTGTGGCGCCTCACCACATTTGTTGCGATCCACCTACCCCCCCGCCTCCACCGTGCCAGATTACCGGCGTGCACCACTCCCGCCGTCACCACCATCATCACCACGCTGGCGGTTACGGGTTGCCCCGGATGGGCTGCCTCCCAGCACCAGTTTAACGTTTCGCTCAGGTCGAAGATTAACTCCCGTGGGCCGGGGAACGAACTCGGACTGCTTGGCTCGCAACGCAGAGCGCAAAAACCACTGCACGGCTGTGGGAATCCTCGAGTCGAGATGTATGCAGAAGGTCGTGGATTCGATCCCGAACCTGACACCTGTACATTTGGAGTTCTCCACATGGTCGCGTGGATTTTTTCTCTGGGTCCTCTCCACAGTTAGAAACATGCATTTAGAGTATTTGGCTACTATAAATGTTCACATGATAAGCCACTTCGTTGAGCTATCTGTGGCCAGGTCGCTTCTGGAAAAGAGCTATATCACTCAGTGGGCCTTAGCTAGTAAAATAAAACTGGTTTCGATTTCGTTTATTGATTTTTTTCTTTTCATCTTTCTAACATCTCCGTCAGGGCACGATCTCTCCCAGCAGCCACCTCCCCCCGTGGCCAAGACTCCCAGCGTCATCGAGGCAATGGTCCAGCAGGGCAGGTGAGGACTGGGTACCGACGGATGCCGAGGCTGTTGAGATTTGAAAAATTCGCAGTTTTTTATTTCGGCCGAGCGGAGCGCAACCGGAAACCGTCCGTGCGACGAGCCTCGCGCTGACAATACGCGCCATCGGATCGTGAGTGGAACAAACGAGCGTTGAGGGTTCATGAGAAGAGAACTCTCCGATTCGTTTTCGGGGGTCGCACGCCCGCGCGTCGTTCGGCTTTGAAGTCCCACGTCTCGCTCCACGTGCTGGGAGCGACGGCCTATAGAGCGGAACGTGGGACATTGTGCCGAATGACATGCGGTAATAGCCACAAAAACACTTCGGAGAGCTCTTTTTCCATAAATTGTAAATGCTTGCTTATTTTCAGGCGTAATTCGATGTGATGATACACGCGCGAAAAACTTACGCACAGGTATTTATGCACTTTATATGCAGGCGATGTGCCATTAAAGTTAGGCTCATTGAAGTGGACATAACTGTACATGCAGAAAAACAAGAGCGTGCAAATGTGACGAGTAAAAAAACATAACCAAACGACAACCAAGAGATGCTTGAATTGAATCTCATTACTCTGAATCGTGACGCTGTGTCGACTCGCCAGGGCTGTGGGCTGAGTCACTCCGCCAGTGTCAAGGTCAACCTTATTGATTGTGTTACCCGAGTTTGTAACTTGGTTCTGTGCGCGCCTTTTCTGCCGCTGCAGCACGGAGAACGCCGCGACCAAGGCAAGTCGGGGTCCGCAAGGGCTGCCCAGCAAACCGCTCGGTTTGTTTTTCCGCAAGTCGACACGCGGCCCACCGAACGAAACGCGCGCGCACACGGCCATGTGATGTTTGTCTTGTTTAGCCGGGTAGAGGAACTCTAGAGGCAGGGGGTTAGCCCCATTTTCACGAGCGGCCACCACCTCACAAATGCCCCCGGTGGGTTTGAGTTCAAGATATCCGCTGCACCCATATTTTTGTTCAGTCGTGAGGGGACAACTTGAGCGACGAGCCACAACGGGCCCTAAGCTTTTGCTTATTTGGTTCATGCCTAGCATCATCACTCAACTCCGGTGTAGTCAACCTAGGGCATACATCATACGGTTAACATAAAACAGTAAGTGTATGCAGCCAGATGTGATGCCTAGGATCATTGTTATTGCACATAGGAGGAAACAACAAGTTATTAATGATTACACACGAAGCCACTCTGGCTTAAACTCAGCATGTTTAGAGGTTAGGTTTTGAGGTGGCCTGCAGGTGGCTCAGAGGCCAGAATGTTGAGGTCCTGGGTGCAATCCCAGGTTTCTGCTGCCTCTGATTAAACCGGGTTCTCAAGAGTAGCGAGTTGATGGACTCTACCCTCATCTTCCTGAACACCAATGTCTGAACACAATAAACCCCGTGACGTGAATTTGTTCAAGCCTGTTTGACTGTCGTGAGGTGAACATTTATTCTGTGGCTCGCTGGGTAAGAAAGCAAGTGCTGCCCCGACTGTAAGAGAGAGACCCAGAGGTATCTTGCATGGCGCTTGCCTCTAAGGGCCGTTCTTGATTTACATGGCTCGGCAAGAGTCGCGAATGCCTTCACGGTCTCGTGACGTGACACCGACAGCGCGATAACGCTGGGCAAAGAAGCGACGAGAAATAGAAATGCATCGGGCAGCACGTGGACATTGGACGCGTTCGGCCAGAGGTCACTTGTGAAGGGATCACGAGGTAGCTCTGTGGTGTCCGCTTCCACCGGGCCGTTCTCTCACGTGGGGGGATCGCACTGCTCCCCGCGAGAGTCCCGAGTCCGAGTGGCTTCTTAGTCTCGTGGCGTCAAGGCGACAGCAACATTTTGAAAAAAAAAAAACTGGGAAGCTTACAACAAGAAATTTAAATAAAATTTTAAAAAATGTATAAGGAACATGGCGAGCGAAACGCCACGCGGCAGGAGGGCCTGCTAACGGTTGTGGTTTGCGGTTGTCACTTGTGGTTGTTGTGCGGCAGCGTACGTGAAGTTACACAAGGAGAACCCTCCTCTACCTGACGCTTCCAACTCGCTCCCTGACGTGCCGCTCCCGGCTCCTCGCAAACACATCCCGGTGAGTCACCCCAGCGGTGGTGGTGGTTCCGTCACCCCGGGTCGAGGGGGCAGTGGAGGCTGCCCCAGGTTTTCCAGTCTCCGTCTTCTTCTTTTGTACGGCGGCTGATGTGGATGCCAGATCAACGACGACAATTTCACATTCAGGTGGTCAAGCCGGACAACCGCGTCAGGAGCAGCAGCGAAGTGTATTGCCGTGTTTGTGGACCGGACATTACGTCGTTATATAAGTGGCACGGTTTATTCTGGATGACCACAGTCGAGCACTGGAGAGTTTCTCATTTTCTACTTGCGCATCAGGTGGCCGCATCTGCCGTGGTGTTTGTGCAGTGGATGCGGTTTAGGTTTTCCAGCCTCGGGTGATAATTCTTGACGGATGTATTTATTGGGGAACTGGAATGCCCTGGCAGCGGCTTCATCATCAGCAGACGGACGCATTCAGCCACCCCGTGGCCTCGTGGAGTCCAGCACTGGGGGGTGGGCTTCATTCGATCTGCGCTATGAACCCAGCAGCAACATGAGCTTGCTACCCTACGTCCACTCAGCCACAAATGAGTACCTGGTGCAGTCTGTAAACTTCGTCGCTGGGGAGACGAAGGAGGCCTCGCGTGGTCCTCGCCAACCAAACCCTCCTTCGTGCTTCGTGTGCCGTGCCGGCCTTCATAGCACTTGCACCAAAAGTCTGTTAAGGGAAGGTGGGGGGGGTCTCTTGTTTGCATTGGGATAGGCATTAAGGGAATACCTGGGAGACGAAGGCCGGCTAGGAGCCAGACATGTAGGCTGTGCCGGCCTTCATAGGTGTCTTCTAACAGCACATGCCCCGACAGTCTGCTAAGGCTATACACGGGGGGATCTTTGCCTGTGTACGCGTGAGCGCAGCCAAAGCCGCGTGTGCGACGCGTCAAGGCCGTCTACGACTGCATCGCCGACCACGGGGACGAGCTGAGCTTCCACGAGGGTGAGGTCATCGTGGTGACGGGCGAGGAGGACCAGGAGTGGTGGGTGAGTATCTCGCCTCCCCTCACCACCCCACCCCGCCACTGCTAGCCTACCGGGGGTGGTGCCGTATCATGATAGGTTTCATAGCAAAGCAGTCAAAGTGATTGTTTGAACTAGCACTCGCCGATTCACTCCAGCAAATCGTTCACCGGCTGTCGGTCGCCTCCCTGTCACTCTTCTATTGCTACTACCGTGGTTCCTGTTCTCATGAACGTCACCCATCCATCCCTCCGCCCATGTCAAGGAATCAGTCTAACAGGCTGGCGGCCTCCTAGTTTCATCCCGCACTGCGTTTCCGCCACCACGCCGCAGGTCAAAATAACTTCCCTTTCTGCTTCAGTGGAATTCCAACTTTTCTCGTCCCCAGTTCTTACAACCTTGCTTAATTCGAGTAACGCATTAATGCCTGTCTATTGCACCTTCGACAGTGCTTGACTTAAAGCTTTCGTGACTGCAGGAATTCATATTCTTGGGTCTTTTGGTAAAGTCACGTAGATAGGTTCAAAGAAAATAACCAAAAACTACGACGTTTCGATCGCAACACGAGCGGTCGTCTTCAGGCAAAGGGGGGGTTAGCTTCCAAGGCTTTACCGAAAGACCCAAGAATATATTTCAACATTGCTGTTTGTCCCTTTGACAGTGTGGGCCTTTGGCCCTATGCCACCCTAATGTGATAAAACAAACCCCAACACATTTCTAGGTTTCGTGGTGGGAAGTTCGCGCTATCTTAGAGACGCGACGATGTTAATGGTTGGCGGCCGTACGGACCGGCCGGTCACCTCGTCGCCCGCCCTCGTTTGCCTCCCTGATGTCAGCGACACTGTGCTGTGCGTTTCTCTGCCGCAGAAGGGACACGTGGAGGGACACCCGGAGAGGCAGGGCGTGTTTCCCGTCTCCTTCGTGCACGTCCTAGTCGAGTGAGGTGGTGTCGCCTCGCAGCAGGGGGGAGAGCAGAGGCTCGCCAAGGGAGACGCGCTTCTCCGTACAAATCTGTACAAATCTGCACTGGACGATGGGACACCACAGGGATCGGTGGGGTTTTGCTTCCGTGGTGCAAGACGATTGAACTCCATACGGCTGCCTCATTCTTCATGCAAGACGTGTCGACAAACGAAGATTCACGCACCATGAGTGCCCAAATTAGCGGCATTCACATGAAGAAACACTCCTGTTGCAAATATTGTTATCATGGGAAAAAGAGACCCTTGGGATTGGAATAAACTCGGTATATGTAATATGTAATGCAATTATTGTAAGTAATAGAGATATCTCCAAATCGGTTTGGAGAAACGTTTTGTTTATATTCGTTCCTTTATTGTATGCCGTTGGGAGTTCCACGGACGTAACACTGTAGAACATTGACACACGCAGCGTAACTCTCTTAAGTGGCCGCTGAAAGCGCCGCTGGCAGCAGCGGCCGGCGACCAAACGGTGAGCAGCCCTCGCGACTGTTCTCGTCAGCTTCGTCCAGAGGCTTTGCAGGGAATTGTGTGTAGGTCCCACTCGCGACCCGCACGCACGCGCGCCGGTGTGCGTGTGTCACGACGATTGTGCGGCAAGAGGATCCGGAACCTCGGCGGGGGGGACGGGGAGGTGGGTAGGAAGCAGAAGCTCCGAGCAAGTGGTGCGGCAGATCCATCGTGGCGGTGCATTCATCGTAAGGCTCCAGCTGAGCGAAGTGAACGGCCACCCGCGTGGGGAACGGAGCCTTAAGGGGGGCGTGTTAGTTTATATCTACTGTAAATTGCCACAAGTATTTAACGCTTGCACTACTACTGCATGTTTCTTAACAACAACAACAAAAATTACAACAATAAGAATGACAACGTTGGAACAAGTTGCCTTATAAACACACCCATTGAGAAGACTTGCAGCAGTTGCTGAAAATATTACCAAAAGTGGGGATTTTTTGCTTTTTGTTTCAAGGGAAATAATAATGTTACAGTATATTTTAATTCTATTGGTAAGCTGCTCAACCCACGTACTCTATAATACACCGTGGGAAGACGTGGCTATTTCGGTGGCTTGAAACTTGGCTCCAGGAGACTTGATTTTATGATTTAAGCAATGACACGGAGTCCAGTGATGGAACTTTATATTGGAGATGCCACATGTGACAATGATGAACGTGGTTTCTTCCCCTCACCCCCACCCTCAAGTGTTATGCCGATTATGTAATCGGCATCATGTCATGAGACAAAATTTCCGTTCTGATCTATTGCAGAGCAGTGCAATCCTTCCTGTTAGAGAACAGCCCGTGGAAGTGGATATTACAGAGCTACCTCTGACATCCCTTCATCATGTGACCTCTGGTCCACACGGAGTGACAGTAATACGTGTCACATTTAAACCAATATTTTGCATCTCAGAGTTGGAATTTAGCCAAGTTTAGTGCATAAAAATTGTTTATGCGATTGTCTTTTGTGAGCGGTCGTTGGTGACCCGGCTGAAACCATCAACTCGGTACCCTTGAAAACCCAGTTTAATGACAGGCGACAGAAACCGAGATATCGAACCCAGGAACTCAGCACTCTGACCTCTGAGCCACCTGCAGGCCACCGTGAAACCTGATCTCTAAACATCCTGAGTTTTAAGCCAGAGTGGCTTCATGTGTCCTGGCAGCAGACCTGGCTGCAAACACTGTTATGTGTGTTTAACCCGCATGGTATTCACGATTAGCTTATACACAGAGTGACGTCTGCCCGAGGTTGACTACACTGGAGTTCAGTGGTGACGCTAGGCATGAGCAAAATAATAATAAAGCTTAGGGGCCTCAATTTGATAAAGCAGTCCCCCACATAACAGAAAGAATCGGGGTGCAGCAAATACTATCCTGAACACAGATCCTTATAAAATGTGTAATTATATTAACACAATTGTCATGGTAATTCGCTAAATTATTTCACGTAACTGGGCATGTATAGTGATGTAGCCCGTTCATCGTGTAATGATTGTGGTCAGGTGACGCATTCAATGTAATTAATGCTTAGGGGGGCACCAACCGCCCAGAGCTGGTTGAATATCCCTCGCTTGACATTTGTTCATGAGATGATTTGTCCAAAGCTGTGTGGACTTCAGTGAGACCCCCCCCCGAATGCTGGCTCAAGACGTTTGAATACTGGGAACCACGTGCTCTGTTGGCCATCACGATCCCAACAGCAGTTGTCCAACGCAGCCCCACACACAGTACTAGCCATCATGGACCAAGCATTGACCAACAGCACCGACCAATATTACTCCAATGAGGGCCAAAGATAACTTTTATTTTTTAACCACATTAATCTTGCATGTACACTTTACTAATTATTGTATATTTAAATAACATGTAGAAACAAACCAGTTTGTGAAATAAAATGTGTTTCACTTCATAAAGCTGCCCTCTCAAAGTAAGGAAATGGATGGGGTTGGCCAGAAAACTCTTTGGCAAATAGATATCACCTGCCACTTTCGACCATAGGCTTAAGTAAAATAAACATTACAGTAGGGAGGTTTATCATTGAACATAAACAAGGTTAAGTCGTACGATTGCATGCCAGATGCCTTGCTCTTCTTTTCGAACTGTACACATCAGATTAGTGCAATTTTGGGTGTCATTCAGGGGCCTGCCATTAAGCTGATATCCAACGGTGCTTTTTTTTACTCGATTAGAAACCCTCGCTGGGATCTGCACTTAATCAGGTATTGCATCATCTTCATAATAAAGGTTTTTAGGTTAGATTGCGTAAGTATAAATGTGTCGTAATCCACCACCCGACACAGCGAGTAAGGTTTGTCACGTAAACAACGTGCCAGTTAGTTTACTACTTCAGCCCAGCGGTGTGTTGGAGAGTAAATCCACAACATTTACAATTTGAATACGAAGTTTCGCTGGCATCATCGGGCGATTTGCCAGCCCGATGATGCTGAAGGTTTGTTTATGTGACAAACCTTACTGTGTCGGGTAGTGGAGGGTTACAACACATTTACACAATCGAACCCAAAAACCTTTATTATGAATATTGGTCGCGAAAGCCTACGTGTTGAATTGAATAATCTTGATTGCAAAGGACAGTTGCGTTTCATCTTGTTTGTTATTAAGGCGAAAACAACATTTTCTGCCACGTTCCAAAAATATAAAAGGTTTAACTACGAGTAATAAATAAACGAAATCACGTGACGTGTTTTTCACGTAAGAAAAAAAAGTACCATTGGGACATTTTCCCTGGTGGAGTCGGACAGTTACGTTGAGGGAGGGGGGGGAACACAAATTGGCTTAAAAAAAGTAAGATAGCGTGCGCCAATTTTTGAAAGGTCTGTTATGGGAAACGCAACGCGTTTTTACATGTTATAAACTAAACGTGTCGCTCTGTTGTGTTTTAAAGCCATTTGCTCAAGCGTGGAGCCTGCTGAAATTCAAGTATTTGCTTTAAAAATGGGGAAAATTACGATAAAAAAATCCATAATCAGCATATAAGTAATGTCCATAAACATAAGGAAAGCACCCATTAACACTCAGTTGGCAATATAATTGTGTTTTTTTTGTTATCGGTGAGATGTTGCATAGTTTTTTTGTTTATTTTTATGGCGGACAGTTACACAGTATAATCTGGGAAATGTAATCCAAGCGTTTGGAAGTTCAAGAAAAGCGTTCGGCTCGGTGTTTGGTGTGCGTTGCGGAGGGGCCTGGCTTAACTCGATATTACAAACAAGGGGTCATGCCTTGCGTGCATAACTGCAAAGTAATGAGTGGATTTGACGTTTATACTATTAAATGCCTATTGGAATGTGTGGTTGTGTAATGTACCATATGTTTTAGTTTCCGTCTTGTAAATTACTAAAAACTGCACTGGTTGCAGCATGGGGTATTTTCTGGGACCTGAGCGATTTAGTTTGGTTTCTTCTTCCTTTGGGTACATTACGATGACATTCTTAGACGTGCTTTTTTCTTTTACATTTTTTAACGTAATAACCACTGTTGTACATGTTTTATTTGGGGGGAAACTGCCTTCTGCATGTTACTGATTAATTTAAAATTCTGTGGCTCAGAAATAAAATGTGATTTAACAAGTGTGTTGTATGCAAGACCCCCCCCCTCCGCCACCTCCATCCTCTTCTTTCCACAATTTAATTGCTCGTCTCTTTCCAAGGTCACAGATGGATTCGTTTTTGCACGTATTGGTGAATGCAGCGGCCACTAGGGGTGACAACGGTCAGGTGAACGCATTCTATACGTGGATTCATTGAAGAATCGATGCGTAAATACTGGGCAGTACATTAACCATGAAATTCGTGGTGTCTGCGTCACAGGGGGAGTTCAAGATCCCATGACATTCGAAAAGTTGTGGGCCCTGTGTGCAGACGTCAAGGTCCAAATCTGATCAATTAAATGTAAATGACTGCGAGGCAAATGCGCATTTGCAGGACAGTGCTGGGTAAACATCGTGCCGCGTAGAGACAGCTGCTCTTGGGGCGGAGATCCCCCTTTGCTTTAAGGGGCTCCACGGTGGTTGGGAGACGTTAACTACCTCGCCTGGTATACAGGAGGGCATGGGTTCGATGCCGACCCTGAAGCCTGTATGTTTGGAGTTTTCATGTTTCTCTCCCCGTGGGCGCGTGGATTTTTCTTCTTACACATTTAGAAACACGCGTTTAGAGTATGTGGCTGCTTTAAATTTCCGCATGATTAGCCACGTCGTTGAGCTATGATTTGTGGCCAGGTCGCCTCTGAAAAACAGCTATATAGCTCAGTGGGCCTTACCTGGTCCAATACTAAAGAGTTTATATTATTGGGTCTTTGGGTAAAGTCACGTAGATAGGTTCAAAGAAAATGAAAAACAAAACTACGACGTTTCGATCGCAACACAAGCAGTCGTCTTCAGGAAAAGAGGGGTTAGCTTCCAAGGCAAACTTTATAAGGGGAGGATTTCCACACAACTCAGACACGACTTCAACCGAGAAGATGGATGCAAAATGTAGCAATCTTTGGAAGGACGTTGATCAACCAGGTAAAGTGTTAACTGTCATGTTGGCCGACTCTCTGAGTTGCATTACATTTCTAAGTTTGCTAAGTTTGATCTTTTTTCTTTGTCTCTCACCTTGTTCCCTCTGAATTTCACTCCCACCCTCCCTCCCCCCCCCTCGGATGAGCCGAGGTATGCCTCGCTCTGCGATCTTACATTCACTTGCAAATTCCATTTTACCCTTGGGTTGTACCCACCTCAAAACGTATAACACATTCCTGCGGAGGGAGCTGGTAGGAACGTTGGGTTGCTCGGTCAATGGCCAGGGTCAACGGCGGCGTGGTGTTTTCCGCAAATATGCCCGACTGTGAGGGCTGGGCACAAGCCGGCGTGAGTAGGTTAAACGTTGAGTTTTATAAGGGCACCACGGGGTGACCAGCCCCTCCCAACCCAGCCCCTCCCATTTTTGGATGCACGACGGCCGGACGGACACAATAATCCCCTGTGGGGTGGTGGAACCAGATGGTTCCTACCAGTATAACCTTTGCAGTAGCTCTCTCGCTACATTTCTTCCTGCCTCAGCAGTCCGCCTGCTGTATTGTTTCACCTGAAGACGATTGCTTGTGTTGCAATCGAAACGTCGTGATCTATTAGTTATTTTTCTATCTACGTGACTTTACCGAAAGACCCAAGACTATGAACGCCTGCAGTCACGATTTAAATAGTTTAGTTTGTTTAGACTGCATGAGGGCTTTAGAATTGAAAGTGGTGCAAAGGCGCCTTTATTGCTGAAACACTCAAATATCCCGTACGTACCACACATTATTTTCGCCCCTCTAGAATCTATCGAATGAGAAACCCTGTGAAATCCTACAAGGTGTGGCACTCCTCCCGTCAGAGAACGCGCCTCGAGTCGTTATATCATTGACCATTGCATTTCTACATTATCATAATTCTAGCATTGATATCCTTGACGGAACACAACCAGTAACGAGTAGGTCATCAATGTTAGCTGCTATCGAACGGTGGCAAGATGACGAAACAACAACGGATTATTTAATCCATCTGTATTGAACTTGGAGTGGTATCGTACCGTCTAGTATTTCACATTCCTTCCACATGCCGAACATTAAAATGGCATGGGATAAACATTTCAATACAAGACCCACCAGCCATACTAAGAGTCCTGCGACTAGGCAAGGGATTTCTACGAGGTGAATCTGCTTAAACACCCAAAATGAAACCTTCACATTTGGTTTGACTCAAATTTCACTCGTGAAATCACAATGGGAAATCCTCAATCTAGAACCTTGCTAAGCAATCGTGCATTTAAAACCAAACGAAACACAGCCTCACTCGCCAGTCACTGTTGGGTCCCCTGTTCAATGTTCTCAGTGAGCACACAAACGCACGGGGTATAGGGAGGGCATTCATCTCCATCTCTTGCAACTGCACAAGGTCCTCCAAGCAGGGCGAGGCTACCCTGGTCTGGCTTCAACAGTGGAACCTGTCCATCGACATTCATGAACATGACCGCACCTGTGTCAGTGCTGCAGGGTGGGTGGAGGGGGGTATCTTCCAAACGACCCGGTTTTGGCCGGGACAGTCCCGGTGGTTTCATGAAGTCAATCGCCTCCCCCACAATGACACTTGTAAACAACACAAATATGCTGGATAAGGATATTGCCCCCAGATTAACAAAACAATTTCCCCCCTACCCACGCTCAATTACGAAATTGCCAATGGGTGAGGCCACTGCAATGAGGCCGGGGTCCCAAACGACAAGCGTGGAGACGAGACGGGGGGTCTTGTCGATGACATTTTGGCATCTGGCCAGCAATGATTCAAGCAAGCCTGAGAACTACTGAAATCGCGCTCCATAGTTTGCTTGAGCTGAATCAATGCTGCTGGAAACGATGTACCGTACTCCCCCCAGAAGAAGGCCGTTGGGACGATGAATCGTACAGGAAATACTGTTTTTTTTTTGTTATACTCCAAAAAAATATGAAAAACACCACTTCTATTTTCTCGGTTCTTTCGGTAAAGTCACTTAGAAGGGAAGTAATAAAATAATAAAAATAAAAATATAACAATATAATAATATTATTTTATTATGTTTTATTTTTATTATTTTATTACTTCCCTTCTATAATAAAAATAAAACATAATAAAATAAAAATATAATAATATAATAATATTTTATGTTTTATTTTTATTACTTTATTACTTCCCTTCTACGTGACTTTACCGAAAGAACCAAGAAGATGAATCCCTGCAGTCACGAAAGCTTTAAATCGAAACTGTTCTATTTATTCTGTTGTTTGTATTCGTCATGACGCTAGGCGATGATTTGGTGAGCGAGAGCGGGTCAGCTAAGCCACCACGAAATGCGGCAGCCCTAGGCAAGGGCAGCGCACATTTACATCCTTGGGTGGAGTTCGTTTATCGTGGTGAAGGAATGAGAACTCGGTTTTGTACAATTACAAAGGTTGTTTTAACCACTGCAAAAGTGTTTACTTCCCATATTAGGAGTCCACCGGAGCCGTGCACTTTTAAGTCTAGATTGAAAACTCATTTCTTTATCACCGCTTTTGTGTGTTTAGTTTGTTGTCCTTCCCCTGCACCTCCGATTTTCACGGTTGGCTACGTACGGTGCGAAAGAAGTTCAACATACAATGCACTTCACACAGTGCCAGTGGACTTGGGTGGCGAGCTCATGGAGAGAACGTGCAGTGCCACCACGTTTAACCGCAAGGTCCCAAACTCGCCACGTTGCCACAGCAAACAATTGCAACACGTGACAATACAATTGACGTTAGCACGGCCCTTGTACCAGGCTAAGTGCAGCTTGAGGCCACGTGAAATGTCTAAGGCTCGCCTGCAGCTCACTGGACAGATCCAGGTGCTATGGGTTGACCGAGGTGAACGGCAGGGAGTCACCAACTATGCTTCCCACATCCATCTCGCCAGCAATGATTCGAGCGTCGCACACATTTGCCCACTGCTGTTGTTGGAGGGCGGCTGCCTCAAAGTGCCCCAGTAGCGTCCTTCAGGAGCCTCCTCCACAGAGGACGATCTTGAGACACCGCTGATATCAGACTTTGGCAAGTCTGTACCGGATCACTCCATCTCTTTTCCAGCCCGTTCCGCGCCTGTTTAGCCCCCTCTGTTCAGCCAAACAGAAGCTGCTTGGGCATGCGATGGCCGGGCACGTGGGCTACATAACCCAGGTGAACGCAGCCTCGCCTGCCGGAGGAGCTCACCGATGGTGGTACCGTGTCCAGATCTTTCAAGGATCTGTGAGCTTTTCACACAATGCAGTCTGGTTAAAACCCAGGATGAATCGTAGGCAGGCCAGCCTGAATGTTTCAAACCGGCGCAGATGTTCCTTCAAAAGGGGTCCACGTCTCGCAAGCGGAGAGAATGGAAGGTGTCGCTCTGGTCGAGACGAACCGGAGCTTCGTATGGAGCGATAGGCCAGGTAGTTTCCACACAGGTAGTTTCCACACACAGGTAGTTTCCACACAGTAGCGTTATGCAGCCCAGGTTCGCAAACTTCTCGATTCTCTCCACAGCACACTCGAGGAAGCATTCATTAGAGGGCCTCTCTAGATCGTGTTTTGCCTAATACCACCACCCGATTAACCGCAACCCAAACACGTGACGTCACCACCCGATTAACCGCAAACCAAAACACGTGACGTCACCACCCGATTAACCGCAACCTAAAACACATGACGTCACCACCCGATTAACCTTAACCCAAACACGTGACGTTACCACCCGATTAATTGCAACCCAAACAAACCTAAAACACGTGACGTCACC